GTCGGGCAATTAATCAAATCAACATTTCCCATCCTGCCTTCAATCTCAACATCACCACAACAATCCAAATATACATTACAATAACATTATATTTAAACTAACTTAGTAAATCAGTATCAATACTAAAATTATAAAACTGTTAACTACTCACAATTATCAAAATTAAATTAACCAATACTTAAACTACAAATAATAAAATTAATTTATTAACTAGCATTTACTAACAATTAACTTAACCATAAACTTAATTGACTTACAAGTAATAAAATTAATTTCATTAACTAATATTTACTAAATTAATTAACTTCAAATAATAAAATTAATTAATTAAACTAATATTACTAACATTAACTAATCGACTAAATTATTAAAATAAAACTAACTAAACTAAATCATTAAAAACTAAATATTAACTAAATAAATTCAAGGAACACTAACTGGTTAACTAAATAAATTAGCGCTAAAACAATTAATTTCATTTCACTAAAACTAAATTATACCTAATAATATATATTGTTGCCGGAATGTTCGATTAACCGAAAAATGGAGGCTGGGGCCGAGTTCGAACTTGAACGTGGCGGAGAGAGGCGGAATGGCGCGATCTACGGTGTCTAGCAGAGGGCGGAGGCGGCGGCTGGCGGTGCCGGGCTGCGTGGAAGAAGTGGCGCCGAAACTGGCCTAGCAGGAAGGCCGACTATGGCGCGCGGAGTGATAAGCTGCGGGACGTGCTGGTTCGCGCGATGGAGGCCGTTGACTGGCAACTCTGGCGCGCTGTGGTGGCTCGAACCGACGTTGCTGGAAGCTGCTGGTAAGTTGCTGGCAGTGACGCAACCCAATTTGCAGGGAAGAAAAAGAAAAGGGACAAGAAGAAAGAAGAAAGAAAGAAAGGAAGAAGAGAAGAAGAAGAAGAAAAAGAAAGAGAGGGAGGAGGTGGCGGCCACAGGTGGTTTTGCCGGCGACTGAAAAAAAAAACGCAGATAGGGGGGAGGAGAATGGAGCCAGCGCTGGAAACATGATAGATAAGGGAAAATTCCTAAGAAGGGATTTGGTGTTTGGTTCGATTAATTTTTGGTCCCGGTTTCAATATCATGGTTTTCGCATTGATTTTTGTTGAAAATTTTTTTTTTTCTTACTGGTTTTTTTTCGGTTCAGTTTCTCAACAGGTGTTCGCATTAAATATTGAAAATAAATTTCCAGCCGTCAGTTTTTAATTTAATTGGATAATTTTTTGAAAAATTAAAAATTCGGATTATTTCACAAACTATAAGATAGATGAGTGTTTTTTTGGTGCACACTTGAATTGATATAACAATGGAAACTTTAACCATAAATAAATTGGAATGTAAGGCCAGTGCTTTTCTTTTTCTTTTTTTTTTTTTTTTTTTTTTTAAAATTCAAAATGGGTCCAATGCTTAAATAATATTAAGAATGTTCGAAAAAAGTCAAATATAGAAGCACATAAGTTGCGCTCAAAGAAAATTTCTTTATACCCTTGTGAGAGTACTGAAACTATTAAACTTTCATTGTAATTATGCCCTTTGAATATGTATCATGTTAATTATTAATTTCATATTTGTGAATTTTCTTTCAACTATTTTGTTTTTGACTCTACACAATATAGCAGTAAAAAAGTTCCATTTGGACCGTGGATCATAGAGCCTAGTTTTGTGATGAATACGAACTGGAGATGAATTCAATAAAGTTGAACCCACATTGATTTTAAGTTTAATATCTTAGTTTGCTGAGGTTTGATTGATAATTCCAAAGTTAATCATTGCATATATTGATACACAGTTATTATCTCATTTTCCCTCAATTTATTTTTTGAAAGATAGAGGAGTTTTGCCCTTTTAGCTGTATTTGTAGATGTACTCATTGCTCCTATTTTCCATTCTGTAGTATATTAATTGGCAATTATCTAAACTAAAAATCATTTTGGAACCGCATTGGATCCATTTTGATGCTGATCATATCTACAAACCCCCTCTCTACCAAATGTTAAAATCAAAGATTTAACACACCCTCCCTGCGCTGGTTTCGATCAATATCAACAAGAAGGTTTCTGGGATGGATATTTTTTAAATTAGATGTTCTTCCAAGACTGGTAAAAGCAGATGATGGTAACTGCCGGATCTGCTGCTTGTTGTGACACAATGTTGCTTGCAGGTATCCATTAAAAATTGATCCATTTTACTTTAGCTTTAATTGAATTTATTCCTGGGTGATATTCATCTCTTTTTAGTGGCCCAATGCTTGACCTGTGATGTTTCATCTTTAGCGCCCCAAATGCTGGCCATGTGATGTTCATCTTTTAAATGCAACCAATGCTGGCCCATATTGTATTGAGCTTGTATTTTATAAACTAGTTCCTGAAAACTAGGCAAATCTCTTTAAAATTGTCAAAAAGAAAATGTTCTAAGGCTTTCCATATTGTTTTTCTTTTGGGGGAATATTTTGTTTTATTATTTTTTTATTTATAAAATTTTATTGAGAAAAGAAAAGAAGTGAGTGTAACAGCCATTGACCAGAACCCCCTGCAAAAAGGGAAAAAAAAAAAAAAAAAAACATCTGTCAACAAGAACATAAACAGGAATCCAAGTTTGGCTTACTTGTCTGCCTCCTCCTCTTTCCTGCTTTAATATCTTTTATCTATTTATTGTTTTTGATAAACCATAGAATTAGAATACGCTATAAGCCAAGCTGGCCCTGTGGGAAATCAGCATAGAGTTGGCATGCTATAATGAAACGCAGACTGTGTTTTTAGAAAATGTCTTCTTAGCTAGTAATATAAACAAGTATTAAGAACTGTTTTGCTTTTGATGTTAAATGGTTACTTGCCAAACAAACTTACCAACTTGTATCAATGAAATTCTTTTCACTGTTTGTTTTCTGCATGAATATGTTGGTCTTAAACTTATTCGTTTTTTCATTTCTTATTATAGGCCACTTTCAAGGAGAATTCACTATGGGAAATTGTCGCTGAAGGCTAAAATTTTCAAGAATCCCGTGCTGAAATAGAAGGCTGATATTAGGCACAAGTTAGTTGCTAATATAATTTTGTTTCCTATTGGTCAACTTTTTTGCTCTTGGGCCTATATGATTCCTTGATTTGAATAATAAATCATCACATTGTCATCTTTTGGGTTTGTGATGCTTATAGGATAGAGCAAAACTTCATGGAATTGGTGACTAAATGAATCTTGTGGAAGCAATAATAAGAAGAGAGTAGAAATGAAGCAAACATTTTAGGCCGAGACATAACAATTAACTCCAGAGGTAAGATGCCAGCTAAAACCTAATTTATGTAGTAAGCCAAGTTTAGTTGTTCAATATGTATGACAATTGGGATCATGCCTCTCAACCAAGGAAGTTGAAGGTTGAAATACTTGCTGGGAGAAGGCTCGAGTAATTTTGAATCTCTTTTGTTCATATCGATAAGAATTATTGTGAATGCTAGGACTGTCCAAACTCCAAACCGAGCAGCCCGATTAGCTTTTATAGTATGAAATGTATATTCAATTCAGTAAATCAAAAGAGCATTGGGGTTGCTCGGTTTGGATTTTGGAAAAATCTAGTTAACGCAGACGAATATTTAGTTTACTAAAACTCCTTCGCCTCTTTTTCTTGAGATAAAAAGTGCGTATCTTATAATTTGGAACTTCATGGATAACCAGAAGTCATGTAAGGGTATTTTCAAAGACAAAGTTGTCATTTATCAACTTTCGAGCTGGAAAATTCTTGAACCTTTAGCCACCAAGTTATGTTCAATTGCATCTTTGATTTATAGGGTAAAAGAAGATGCTGATCATAAAGCATTGGCCCCAAGGATTTGAAAATACATGACTTTTGACATATGATTTTTTTTGTCAAGATTAATCACAATCTTTTTTTCCATGTTCTATTGTTCTTCCCCTTGCATTGGTTAGCAGTAAAGCTTTCCATAGTTTATGCCTTTGTTAAATGCGTAAGCGTTTTGTGGCTACTCTTTCTGCCAAGGCAACAAGCATTCTTTTTGTATATGAAAATTTTGCAATTTAAGTCTAAGAAATTTTCCTCTACCCCTTTCATGAAAATTGAAAGATTGGTTGTGAAATTGCAAGTTTGACTCTTATGAATTTGTGATTTTTTACAAGTTATAAAAATAATCTGTAAGTTAAAATGTTATTTAAATTTTGAATTAAGAAAATTCGGAATTTAAAATCTATTTTTAATAAGTAAAATCAATATGAAAGTTATATAATCTATGATTTTAAGATTTATATGCTTTATGTATTTTATATTATTAACGTGTTATGAAATTATTACCAATTAATATGTTAAGAGAGAGATAAAAGATAAACACTTATTTAATTAATCCAATGACACAAAAATATTTACTTATTGGTTTTTTTTCTTTTTTGAGGATACTTAGCAGTTAATGTTTTTTAATATTATAAGATACGTGCAGCGTGTTCATTGTTAAATAAGATTTAAATTTATTTTTACTTTATAATTATTTTGTGAATTCAAAATTTGAAAATATGAAGTATTGAAACAAAATTATTTAAACATTGTAATTAAAAAACTTATAAATCATTTTTAATATCTATAATAATATATATATATAGTTTTAAAATTTTAAATTTGAGGTAAACATATTATTATCTATAAGTTATTTTTACTTAATTAATAAAAATAAAATTATCTTAAAAAAAAAGTAAATAAAAGATTATCAAAACGCTTTTGTATTGTATCTGAAAATAAGAAAAGGTCAGCCCAGAAAAATCAAGAAAAGCTGCAATACAGATTTAGATTACAAAACACCACTCCATTCAAAATTCTTCAAATGTCATTTCTTGAATAACCGTGAGCCGCTTTTTTTTGGTGCGCCCAGCTGCACTTTTTGTCTCTACCAATCAATGCCACAGTTTTTCAATAATCTAGGCCTCAGGCAAGTGGAAGCCACCACTACTTCACTTGCACTTTCGTGAGTGAGAAGAAGGAGAGGCGGAGAAAAGAGAATGGAAAAGGCACTACAAAAGTTTAGCAGCTTCAAAAGTTGGTAGCTCATGGATCTCAAAAGAAATGCTAAGCAGGAGCTCTCTAATATAACTGAAGATCATTACTGTGAGTAACTCTTTCTTGTTTTGCCTTATGATCCTGTTTGTCCAAGACTTTATATATGTCTGGTTTATTTTGTTATTGTAGGCTATAGGTTGTGTCTTGTAAATGTGGGTTGATTGATTGAATGAACTTTACCCTTACCCGCTTTTTTCTGGTAAATTTGGTCTGGATGCTTTTTGTGTTTTTCCTTAGAAAGAGTAAATTGGGAGATGGTATTTTCGAAATGGAGTTAAATTAAGAATAAATAATTTTAAAAATGCAAAAATATGCGTGGAAGTGAAATACCCAGTCAATTGGTTTTCCTTTTTGGCTTATCTCTAATCTAGGTTTGAAATTGGTTATCTCATTTACCTTTTTTTCCTTTGGATCGTTGTTATGTGCATTTCTTTAGTGTTAAATTTGATCCAATCATTTCTGAAATAATTAGGTTGCTTTGCCAGAAAAGAAAAAGGGAGGAGAGGAATGGATGTTAATATTAGTAACCGGCTTTGGATAATGCTATTTTTGTAATGAATTTGGAACCCAGTTTCTAGATACGAGTAGAAAGGAAATTTATAATTTCATTTATGAAAATAATTGTCAATGAAAAGATATATAGGTTCTCTTGTGTATAGAATTTTCCTTCGTTTGTATATCTTTTTCCTGTTAGAGGGAATTGTACCTGCTTTTCTAACTAGCATTCTTTTATGATTGCAGACTTTCTCAAACACTGTTTGAGGAAGGCAAATGGATTTTCAACAAGCTGAAAAGGTAGGATAATTATGTGTGTTATCTACTGTGCATTTTCCTTAATCCAAAGGACAAGTCGATTTCTGTTATTCACTAATAGCTTGCAGTCCTTTTAGATTTCTTCAATTGTCTTTGGAAACTTTCTTCCTTGCCTTTTATTTTTTCCCTTGAATGGTTTTACATTAGTAGATGGCATATTCCCATTTGTCTAATACACTGGTTGCAAAAGCGCTTGAAATGATCATTGACAGATCAATTTGTAAATACAAATCCCAAAAAGAATTGTTGAAAGAATCTAGTGGCATTAATTTGTAACTCGGTAGTTCAATTCTACTAGTTTTTTTATGATGTAATTCTGAAAAAGATCTTAAAGATAAATTATGCCATAACTCTACATGGAACCATAAATTGGGTTTCATCATGTTGGCCCTATGGCTTTTTTTTAACGTAAACCATCAAATTCAATCCAAACAATTCTATATATTTTGCACTTCTATATTATTAATAACATCCACTTGTTTTTTTAAAAGGGGTTGTGCCTTCATCTTCCTTTACATTTAAGCAAAATGGCCATTCTTTTTTTTTTGTTTTGTTTTTATGTTTAGCCTCCATAGTGAATGGGTATTTACTGGCTTTTCCATCCCTATTTCTTGAAATAATGATTATTGAATTCAAAAAGACCATTCCTATTTTGCTCCTAAAAATTTTTAGCTTCTTATAGAAGCCTTTATTATGTTTGTGCTCATTCTTCAATTGAAATTAGAATTAATCATTTGGGATTTTTTTAATAAACGATGGATTTTTTGAGGCAATACTTGCATTAAAAATATTGCTTCTTAAACTAGAAGCCTTATTTGTTTGTGCTCCATTCTTCAATTGAATTGAATTATTCATTTGGATTTTTTTAACGATGGATTTTTTGAGCAATACTTGCATTAAAATATGCTTTTACAGATCAATCTTGCATAATTTTCTTTCTTTTAAGTAATTATCACTGAGAAAGCTGTGCATGTGCACACGAGTCCAATGTGTGTTTGTGCGAGTAAATGCTTCATTGCTATGTTCTTTCTTTGTGTAGGAAAACCACTCAAAAGCTTGCCAGACCTCCTTCGAGAGTACAACTTACCACCCGGTCTCTTTCCCCAGAATGTAACCTGTTATGAATTTGATGAGACAAAGGCCAAGTTGATTGTATACTTGCCTTCTGCATGTGAAGTCAGTTTCAAGGACTCTTCTGTATTGAGGTATGGAACCAGAGTAAAAGCAATACTTATGAGGGGGAAGCTCACAAGCATAGAGGGAATGAAAACAAAGGTCCTAGTATGGGTTAAGGTCACAAGTGTGTCGGTTGAGGGCTATAAGTCTGATAAAGTGTGGTTTACTGCCGGTGTCAAGAAGTCGAGGCCAAGAACTGCATATGATGTGCCACAAGTTTCTGTTAGAGTAGATGAATTTTGAATTAGCATATCCTCATATGATGAACAAATCATAGTAATTTTTTGCCAGATTAAGCATAACATCTTGTCTTTAAAAAACAAATATTGCTGAGATGTCCTGATGGATATAAAATTTCTAATTGCACCTGTAGTACTTCACAAATTTTTATGCATGCTTGAACAGGCTCGTTTGCATATTTATTTATTGTCCGTTAAATTTGTAAGTTCTTGGCTTTTCAAAGGAATTAAGAAATGATTGAATTTCATAAAAATAATTGACTAATTTATTGAATTTCATAAAAATAATTGACTAATTTATTGAATTTTCATAAAAATAATTGACTAATTTACCCTTTTAATTAATTTTCATTTAATTGAGATAAAATTCAGTGTAAAAAATCTATATAAGGATAAAGTTGGAACAAAATGATTAATGCTACTTTACGTTTCTAAAAGTGACATCTAAATGGAAAACTTTATCTTTACTGTAGATATATTTTTTCATGGTAAACTTGTTATTGTGCTTGCTTGCTACCACTGTGCAGTGTATGCTTTTACTATTTCTTAACACTGCTCATACCAATCAAAACAAGTTGAAAGGTTCAACAGAATGTAATTCTGAATTAGTATCCAATATAAATGCTCACAATTTCAACAAGTTAATATGAGCTTCCGTTTGTAGAAATCAGAAAAATTCCATGTGCTATACTTAAATATTAATTTAAACGCTATCACAAACAACAAAAAGAATTTGCGTTTGGTGACTGTCAATTGATGGTCCTAACTTCTGTCATCTGCCTACCAAACCAAGGTGCAATTTCACCCTATCCCTGAACTATCTCATATATTGATATGACATTCTCAATACTCAACAGGAGAATGATGCACCATTCTAGAAGATCTGACCTTCTGTTTTGGATAACCTCTTGGAGGAATCGAATGTTATGCTGCAAAACACAAGATTAGAGACGGAGATGAGTTTATTAGACTAATCAACATAATATAAAAAAGTACATAATCTTTTCCTGGAATTATTATTATTATTGTTGTCGTTGTTGTTGTTTTCTAGAGATCCAAACAAAAGATATGCTGAAAATAAAATCAACTATAAAATTCAGTATACTTAATGTAGAGTGTTTTAGACAAGTTCTGCATATTCTTGTGCATTGTAGTCCTCTAAAAGAATATGAATTATCGCGCGCTCAATTGTTGCCTGCTTATTGATTAAAAGTTTAAAGTATCTTCTCATGAATGCTACTCTCCTTATTCAGCAATTTCAGTTTGTATGCAATTTCAAGCCAGCATCCCCATAAACACCAGCTTTAGAATAATTACAAAGTTATTCTTTTAGATTTTGAACAACCACTAGTTTACAACATATACAGAGACATACCTCTACAAACTTCAATTTGAAATCCAAATTCCCAAACCGTTGAGTAACCTCGTACTCCTCTCTAAGGTACTCATATATTTGAGCATATTTTGCATCCTTCCAAGCAATTTCAGATCTGAACAGTAAAAATAGAACTGTTATTAGAGGATATCATTGATCTATAATTCAGTTTCTTCGCACCCCCCCCCCCCCAAAAAAACCCCCCCCCCCCCCCAAAAAAAAAAAAAAAGCACTGCTTGATTCCTATAATGAGCTCAATTGTGAATATAATGTGTTCACATGCATATGTAAATCCCCCCCCCCCCCAAAAAAAAAAAAAAGCACTGCTTGATTCCTATAATGAGCTCAATTGAATATATATGTGTTCACATGCATGATGTATATCCAACAGAAGCCTGGGCCAAATAGAATTGAACAAATGCAGCCGAAAGAAAGTTCATAGCACTAAACAGAAGTGAAGAATATTCAGTTTAATGCCCTGTGGCAGCGTCACTGCAATGAAGAAAATCCAACCAATGAGTCCTGAGAAAAACTTATATTCCAAGGATAATTTTCTTTTGGAAGAGAGGAGGTGGGGAAGAAAAAGAGAAAAAAAGGATTTTGATGAAAAGCCACGTTAACCCGAGAAACTCAGACAAAGAAGAATTCATTTGGAAATTAATAATAACAATAAATTGATGAGGAAGTAGCTTCCCACCCTCTTAGATGATGAAAGAAAAGGGACTGCAAATGAGAAGAAGTAGAGGAAGTGTTTCCTGCCTGCGATAAATGGATCTGAAATTTATCCGGCATGTTCCTCTTGAATTTGACTGCCCACTGCCTAGTGCCTACTGCCCATTGAAAAACGCAGGGCATTGGTAACCAAATCCTACAGGGTATTATCACCAAATGCTGACAAAGTCTTCTAAGTGAGTACCAATGGAAGATTTTGCCTAGACAAGAAGTTAAATCATATAGCATGTAGAAGAAAATTTTGGGCCTTATGCTAAGCAATGAGCAGCAAAAGCAGGTACCTCTCAAAAAGACCAACTTTGAGTATTACATCAGCTAGATTTGAGTTTGCCTTTCCAACAAGTTGAAGCAGCTTTTTCCTATCCATAGTGAAAGTGCCAGTTTTTTCCATTGCACGATTTATTCCAGCAAACTCTTCAACCATTCCATCAACCTGCAGTGTATAAGTGCATGAGAGAGAGAGATTAAGTTTTTAAACCCTCATGAAACTAACTCACAGAATAGCATCCTGTTTCAAGCACGCCAACTATTTTTCTATGGCAAAGAATACAAGCATTGTATTAACCAATTGCTTACATTGAAATAATTAAAGCATAAAACTTTGAAATCCACTATATTGGTCATAAATAAAATGATGCATCCATACTTGCCAAATTATATTATCAATAAATTATTGCAGAGATGTTACCTGTGATACAAAATAGTCCAGGGCAATGCTTTGTCCAAGTACACTTCCAATAATGCGAATGCTATCAGTATCTAAAGTTTTGAGAACTATGTAGTCTGGACCTCCCTGCATATCCTCAACCAGAAGTGGTTTCTCTTTTATGGCATAATCTAATACAAGGATACATTGACAGCCAAGCAGAAAATTAATCATGCTTTAAAAAGACTACAGGAAACTAATCAGGCTTCACAGCCAGTAGTGAAACCAATTCAGCAAATCCAGAATATAAAAGTCGAACAGAGAGATGTTTTAGGAGTATTAATGTTTGAATACACTGAAGGGGAACTGGGCAATAAAAGAATTATCATATTATATGTTGCACATCATTCAATTCAAATAAACTAACTCTAACGTGACAAAACATAAAACCCACAAAGAAACTTACCATCTTTCCTCATCTCTGGAAGCAAACCAGAAGCATGTCTTCTTACTATATCTAGGTAACTTTCAACTTCATGATCCTCGATATTGAATAGAACAGCAGATCCATATTGGAAAATCACCATGTATCGACTGCTGATAAGATCTTTGACCCCAAGTGCCTAAATCAAAGGCACACATTATTTAGATGATCCTTAAAATTAACATGTCAGAAGCCAGAATTATGATAAGGTTAAATCTATTCACAACATTGAATGCCCATACTCTGCTAGTCACATATATGCAAAGTCAACTAGAAAAATGAACTAAGAGGAACATCCATCTTATTCGATTAATTTTAACAAACAGAAAAAATAAGCTCATGACCAAAATAGAACCTAACAGGATAGAATGCGCTCTATTCCATTTCACCATCTGATCCACAAAAAAGTCTCAAAACAATAACAAAACAAAATTGAAACTCATTTCATACTTGAATGATTGATTCTAAAAAGTGGGGAAAGAAACCTTCCACCCTCTTGCAATTTCCTAAATGTAGAAAAATTCATTGCAATAATAATGCCATGAGTGCTACAATAACACAACTAAATGACAACACAACTTTTATAGGTAAAGAGCAAAAAACATCAATAATACAGATAAAGTAGTAAACCAATTTAGGAAGGATTAAATTGTTTCTTGGTCATCTTACTGTAATTTCCACAGGAAAACTGCAAAATCTGAGGGCAATATAATTTGTTGATCGAGATGGGGCAGGAACAACATTGCTTAAATTCTCAGCTTGAATGCTCTTCAAATCAATACTGCCAAAACCATGAATCTGAGAAACCAAAACATAAAAAGAAAACAAAAATAACCATAAAAAGAGATAGGAGAAAGGAAACATGGAAGACCGGCAAAGCATACCCATTATTAGGGAGAATAAACCCACCATTATCAAGATTAAAGAGATAGATGTAAGTACATATAAGAAAATATATAAAAATCACGAAACCAATGACAAAAATAAAAGCTGCCTCCCTATATAGCACATAAAAGTGTTTCTTGGACTGACCTAACCAATGTTTCCAGTAGGATAGTTGCACATTGAAGTTCAGTATAAACAAAGTTACTCTATTTTAAGTGCGCAGAATCCAGAACTCGCTAAGAAAAATTTTATGATGGACTACTGAAAGCTTACGTATGGACAACAATTCTGCATTCTTGCACTGCCCAGTTTCATATGAAAAAAAAACGTTTCTATTGACTCAAAGACAGTGAGACAATTAAAATTGCAGAAACAATTGTTCCATCCTAAGTAAAGCCTATAAAACCTCCAATTCTAGTTTGAGGTTTACAATAAAATAAGCGCAGACAAAAGTTGTATACATCGCACAGAAACATAGAGCAACCAAAAACCAGATGAGCAAACAGACCTGGTACATAGAAAGTATGCCTTAACAGAAATTTTCCCAATCTCCTCGTCTTCCTCAGATTCCAGCCCGTAATTAGGAGCCGAATCATTGGACCCATATTCAAAATCATTGCTATAAACCGAAACCCGAGATGGGATTGCCGAAAATAGCCTGAAACTGAAGGTATCAACACCTGGATTCAAAGGATATGATAGATTGAGTGTTTTTGGCAGACACGGGAGAAGATTAGGAGACACAGAGTTAGAGGTTTTCCTGGGTAAGTGGTTAAGGAGAAGAGCAGGAATAGCACGCCATCTACCCATTCAATTTGAAAAGGATTTTCTTTTTTTCTTTCAGTGATTCGTGTGTTTAGTACAGACATAGCTCACTGTATATAAAGTGAGTCATCTTCCTATTCTTCGATTCCGAGCCAGTAAGTTCTATTATGGAAACCAAAGCCATCTGGGATTTGATTCATACCATTAATTTGGCCCTCTGGCGGCCACCCTTCCGTCTCCTCCCATCTAATTTTGGATATCTGTCGCCTTTGTTTATTGGAAGACGTTTTCGTTAATTCTTCTTTTCTTTTTTTTTTTTTTCTTAATTTTATGTTTTTCAATAGATTGATCAAATCCAAAAATTTTTAAAATCTATAGTAATAGAATATAAAATTTAATTTCTTTCTAATTCATAAAATTTCTATTTCAATAAATTTAAAGAAAGTAAAAAAAAATCAACAGTTACAATCCCACATAAATGCAGTATCAAAGGTTATACAGATTTGCTTAAACTGATTCATAACTTAATAATTTTAACCAGCAGTTTTTCTTAACTATTCACGATTAATTTAATTATATTATACTTAACCTTCGTTAACCTTATAAAATAATTATTAATAAAATTATTTTTATTAAAATTGATAAAAAATTCCATTAAAATTTTCATTTATATAACACATTAACATAAAAAATAATATATTCCCCTTAAAAGTTAAAAAATATACATATTATACAATAGATATATAAAGTGAACTATACCACGGAATTGTATATTATTATTAACGATTGTAAGACTTTTCTTTGCGGTGGTAATAAACATTTCTTTTTATTGGATTCGTTGACAAGCTAATATAAAGGCTCATACTTTACTTAGAGCCTCTTACCAATATGCTAATCATAAAATTTGGAATACTATCCCTCCTTATTTTTATTTATTTATTTAATGAAATTCATTCCTTGAGTTTAAAAAAAAAAAAAGTAAATTATTTCATTAATAATCATTTTATATTTTCACATTAGCAGCTATCAAAATTTTATGAAAGACCAACATTAATCAGCTAACTGCTATGGGGTGGTCACAATTAGCAAAACCTAGTGTACTAGCCAATTAACTAATCAGCTAGTTCCAAACTTTTAGTGATGGTTAGCCCAACCTCCCAAGCATAGTAATTAGCCCAAGATCAGGCTCAAGTAGGTTCAAATTAATTTTCTCTCCATAATGGTTAGCCGCCTTAAGTTCAAATATCTATTCAGGATTTTAGTTTCCAACCCAATACAAACATTATAATATGAACCATCTCTCATTATTTACAAAGAAAAATAAATGATTTTCCATTCCAAATTCAAAATTTTAATTACAACTAAATTTATAAAAATAAATTTAAATTCCTATGAATATTGTAGTGCTAAATGCTGACAACACATCATTTATTGAGTATCAAATGAGCCCCCTAAAAGAAAAAAGTGTAAGTGTAGGTAAATCTATGTTCATACATGAATTTAGAAGAGCATGACACTCTTCCTTTTTAGACTCTTTGATTTTTAAAAATAAAAAAATATGATTTAAAAAAAATTAAAAATTGTAATAATAACAATGACAATTGATAGAATTAATACACATATCAGTCAAAATAATAAAATTGCAACCATAACTTGTAGAAAGCTATCTCTAATATTTAAGAAAAAAATAACAGTGAAAAAATAAGTCAGTATAATCTACTGATAAATAGTTTAAACATTTCTTCCAATACTAAAAAGAATGATAATGAAAAAATGAAAATAAAAATTTCTTTCATAAGATCAAACATAAAACGGAAGACAATATAAATTCCAACTAGGTGAGTGGAGACTCGGAGATTATGAAATTGAAATAAAATATAAATTATTTATTGAATTAAATTAGAAATTTGAATAAACAATAAGGATGAATTAATGAATTTTGTAAACACTCAGGTACCTCAAAATAATTTTCCAATAAGATAAAGTTGCAATTACACTTTTTTTTTAGAAAAAAAGAAAATTATTTTATCTTATTAGAACCAATATCATCACTTCTGACACCGTGAGAGCCAAAACCTAACCAAATTTAACGACGTCGTTGTGAAGCTTCCCGATTGCGAACACCATTCCTATATTGTTGAAGGCCGCGGGCGTGACTGCGGGAGGCAGAAGTGAGTTGAGAGAGAAAGAGCGAGCAAATCGAAATGGCGATATCGGGAGATCTAAGGGTCTCTGCAACACTGGCCTCTTACCACAAACACCCTTTTAGAAGCTCTTTGCCTTCTTCAAATTCAAAGGTCCACTTCTCTTTCACCATTTTTTGGTATCTCAACTCACTTGCATTTATAATTTTTCTGCCTTTGCCTTTCCTTCGTATGGTTCTCGTGTAATTCTTTATTTTCATTCTCGTATGCCCATTTATCTGCTTCTTTAGCGAGAAAAAACAGGAAAATTAAAAATGGGAAAAACTGGGATCTTGGTTAGTGAGCGACTGTTTCTCTTTAAAGAAATAGAGGATATGTTTTAACCAGTTTTTATTCGTTATCCTGATTGTTCAACTATGGTTTTTATTTTCTTAGTTCTGATCTGGGTTTGATACTTCACCTATAACATTTGATGTTTTATGTTACTGCTTGTGCGTGCCTCCATTGCCATGGATTTGACAGTAATTAGGGGCGAACTCGGTGCAAATTGAGTATGTCGGGTTTCATTTCTTTTCTTGCTTATCCAATTTTAGCTTTTTAGAGTATCCCAGACGAGGGCAGTGGTCGAGGAAGGTAAGATTTAAGAGGAAAGTGGATATCGCGAAAAAATATAATTGGAAAAGTGGTTGTCAGAGCAATTGTTTAGGATAATGCATCTGTTATGTTTGTTAATATATTTCTAAAATTCTAATGCTGACATGAAATTAGTTTCATAAATTTTATTTTATAAAAAGATCTTTTATGTACATATACCTGATGTGAATGCCCTAAGATTGGTTCGTTCATATCTGATTTTGAAGAAACATTCATCACTTTGAAGCGAATCTTGTCAGTCAAATTAACCTTTTGGTATTACTGCCAAAATTTTACTTGGTCAGTGGAGTTGAGTGGGATTTTGAGGTCAAGTTTAGAAAACTAGTCCAACTACTGCAGTCTCATCTTTCTCTCTATCTCTCTCCCTCTTTCGCTCGCTCTCTTGGTTGCAGTGGTGGTATGTGGATGATCTTGAATTGTGCTAATTAACTTTTAGGAGACAAATCATAAGGTTTATCACAATGCACAAACCTTCATTATCTCATTTCTTCCTGTTATAATCATGCTTCCCCTACTTTAGCTTCCCTTTTCCTTCATATTCTTATTGGCAAATTATTGATTATTTAGCTAGTGCAGTCTAGAAGTATAGGTGTAGCAGGCTTCTTATTATGTTAGGACCTCCTTTGGTGCTATTGGCTTGATTGCATAGTCTTCTCTCTGGAACTTTCAGAGTGAAGTGGAAAAATCTCCCTCCAATATGAGTTTATCTAGGAAAATAACATTGATTTGGTAGTATTTGTTCATTATTGAAGAACTGCAGGAAAACTTGGTGTGCATTTTTGTTGTATGTTTGAGAAATTAATGCTAAATTTATCACAATGTTAAGTCTTTTATGTTGTAATGTATAGGTAGAGTTCATTGGTTTCCCTGGTGGAGGATCAAGTGCTTCTCCAAACACGCACAAATGGCCTGGCATCAGCATTGATAGATGGAAACTGCATAATCAGTCTAGACGATTTTCTGGGATTACTGGAGATTATCAATTGTCTTCAACTTCAATTAGTGAAGAAGCCGAAAACTTCCTACTAAATGCCATAAACATGAGCTTCTTTGAGCGTTTAAACCTGGCATGGAAGATAGTATTTCCATCACCAGCACGAAGAAAGAGCTCAAATGCAAGGATTGCCAAACAGCGGTTGAAGATGATTCTTTTCTCTGATAGATGCGCAGTTAGTGATGAGGCAAAACGAAAGATTGTAAGCAACATTGTGCATGCTCTATCTGAATTTGTGGAGATAGAATCACAGGATAAAGTCCAGCTAAGTGTCACCACTGATAATGATCTTGGGACTGTCTACTCTGTCACAGTGCCTGTACGACGGGTGAGGGCAGAGTATCAGGATGCAGAAGAGATCGGGTCGATTACAAACATTGAATACAAAGATACTGGAGAAACTTCTGGTTCTGTTGATGTCCGGTTTGATTTCTTCATCCCAGATGAAAGAACTCGGTGATTGCCCAAGGCTGAAAGTAAAATAAAGTGTTGGCCAGTATCAAAATAGTTTCTCTTTTCCATGTTTGGAATTTTAGCTAGGGAGATAAGCTTACGCATTTGTATATATATGAATTTGCTGTTATGCAATTGAAGATTTTCCTTTGAATTTACAGTTGGTTTAGTGGTTCAGGTTAATAACATTAAAGCATGTCTGTGCCTTTACTGTTATGTTTTCAAGCATGGTATTTGAATGGAAAAAGAATCAGCTTGAAACTTATATCTAAGTTTATGACTATGAATATGCATACTTTTGAAGTCTACCTAAGCTTATGACTATGAATATGCAAAGTTTTGAAGTCTCCCTGCTGTTTTTGGCCGGGTGATCTCTAATTGGGATATAAACAAGCCGAGCTCTGACTTAAAATTTGGGGCTTAAAGTTGGAGTAACCATATATAAAAGTTTGGCGAATTGAAAATCATTAGACTCAAGCTCTATTCAAATTTAATTTTTTGAATCTTTTTTCATGTCGAGTTCAAACAGTTCACAAATTGGTTCATCTCATTTGTTTTGCTAATTTCCAATATTTAGATTAGTATAGTTATGGGCCTTCATTGCTAATTTCTAATATCTAGATTAGTATAGTTATGGGCCTTCCTTACGGCTTCATGGAAGATGTTCACATAGCAGCGACTGGTGAGTCTCATATTCACCTAAGAGAGTCCAACAATTATGACAAATGGGGTAGATTTTGACGCGAAAAATAATCCTTCTCATATTGGTTAATACTCGAAAGTATTTCTCTTAAAAAAAAAAATCTAAAGAGTTTCTAACTTTTTGTGGCTCAATTTTATAACCTTCGGTTTATAACCGATGTTACAACTATCCTAGTGGCTTGTTGTGACTTGTGAGATACAAGTTTCCTATTGAGAAATTTAGCTCGGTGTTTGATTTTTTTTTTTTTTTTTTTTTAAGTATATCTCTATCATATTTTATTAATATTATTTTATTTTTCATAAAAATATATTAAAATTCCTAAGAAAGAGGTCCTATATCTATATTATGACTATATGGTTAGATTACGCGAAAAAAAATCCTTCTGCATATTGGTTTAATACTCCGGGGAAATTATTTTCTTCTTAAAAAAAAAAAATCAAGTATGCTAATTTACTTTTTGTTGGTGCGTCAATATTATATATCCTGTGCAGATGTCTATATAACCGAAGCTATACACACGGATATCTCTAGTGGGATTCCATTTGATGGGATGACTATGGTGAGGATTACATAGTCTAACTTGATATATATTTTTAGCTTCTTGGCTGAGTGGGTGTCTGAATATTTTTCTGTTTTTTCTTAGATTGTGGCTTCTAGAATATATTACAGAATCTTCGAATGTTTTCCCTCATTGTATGTATCCTCTCCAGAATTGGTCTTATGTATGTGAGTAATTATGTCTATAATAAAATATCATTTTCGAGTTTTGCCCTCGGTGACTGTATCAATCTGGCTCTCTCTCGGGTATGGCATGATGGCGTTATGGCCTCTATTCTTCACGATGGTGTGTGCTATTGTTCTCTCGTGTTCGTGTGGTTTTACTATTTTTTTTTTTTTTTTTTTTTAAGGGCTTAAATTGTAATCTTCAAAATTGTTCCCTCCCATTTATTTCGATTTCAGTAGTTTGAAATATCAAAATCTATCATTTCCCGCTGTTCAACTCCGGTGCTGCTACCACCTTCTTCACCCCGATGGGGCAGCCGCACTAACATCGTTGACCTTCCTCAACACTCTCCATCTTCTACTAACAGGTTTTTTCTTAACAATTGCAAGCATTCCATATACAAATAGAGCCTCTTCCGTCGCACTCGTACCAACCATTTAATGTCTATGTTTAGCTTCAAAATCCTTCGATTTCTCGAGATCTGCTAGCTCCATACGGTGTCGTCTTCTCTCTCTGGTTGTGCAGATACTGTGGCTTTGATTATGAACGGCTCTACCTTACAGTTCGAGAAACCGATAGGAGATGCGGTTTCCAGGATACGATTCGCCCCGCAATCCGATAATCTCCTCATTTCTTCTTGGGATTCTGTGAGAATTCACTTTCTTATCTTTGTATAAGTTTACTTATTTACATTTTAAAAAAGAAGTTAATTTGGTACGATTGTTTTGGTTTTTGCTCGTGTAGAATCTGCGATTATACGATGTTGATAGCTCTCAGCTTAGACTAGAAGCTTCCTCACGGGCTGCTCTTCTCGACTGTTGTTTTCAGAGCGAGTCCATGGCCTTAACCGCAGGATCAGATGGTTGCATCAGAAGGTTAGTCATAAAATATTTTATTTTTCAAAAATTAATAATTTTCATTCTATGGTCTTTATAGAATATATGTTGACTGCTTTCGGGGCAATGTTTTTGTAGGTATGACTTGCATTCAGGAGCTAATGATACAGTTGGAAGCCATTACGATATGGCAACATGTGTTGGATATAATGATGAAACGTGTAAGCTACCCCCACAACCTCATTTCTATATATACTTTCTTAATTCAAGTTTTGGACTTAACCTTAGCTTTGCATATTAGTTTCTTAAATTACAATGTCCCAGATGATAATATGTTTCTGAACTCAACTATCATTTGATTTATTTAACTTTTTTAATGCTTTGGTGGGTGGTGATACTTTTGTTTTTAGTTTACGGCTAATAGGACCCATTTTAATATTCTTAAACGCAAAATTGGAACTCCTTGAAGTGTATAGACTATTTGATTTTTCAATCTCATTAAGAGGACTAGTACAAGAACTCCTTAGGAAGCCCTTCTAATATCTAGTAAGGCTTCTTCATGTTGGATGTGAAAATTCTTTTAATGAAAAAGATTCCATTAAAGAAACAAGAAGAGAAATTACAACAACAAGATATCCTTCTAAGTTAGGCAGAGAAAAATAAACAACAGCTATAAAAGGCTAAGGTAAGCCACTTGCTTTCAAGTGAATGCATCTCTAGGTTTCACAAGTTGGTCTATCAGCCAAAACCATGTATGAGAATGTCTCTTCTTGTGCTTTCCTTGGCCTTAGGGGATAAGCAACTAGAAACAATGTAGACTACATTCTATATCTCATATACATTTGGATGATCAACTTTTTTTGCTAAGTATAACACAAATATTCATTTCCTGCTTGAAACTCCAGCACAAAATGTCCTATCTGTTATTCATCTTCTGTATAAATATTCGGGGGCACACTTCTCTGCATGCAGAAGGGTATGTTAAAAACTATGCTAAAGATGAGCTTGTAGTGTAGTACCCCAAATTTTCTTACTGCAACCAAAGATGTGTTCAAAGAGTTTGCAAATGAAGGAATCTAAGTAAAATTTTGCTAATGATTTGCCCTCTAAAGCATCAGGTAATGGTTCATTGTTAGGACATGACTTCAAAACATAATGAGAAAGACTGCATATCCATCAACACCACAAAACCAAAATTGAATGTGTCAAAACTATTTAGTTATCAGTTGTTGATTTTCCATATATTTGCTAATATTGGAGACATTCTTCTCAACATGCTAGTTCTTCGTATTGGTGATTGCAACGTTCTGAAATACATTTGCTTTCGTAGTTGGGCTTTTATATGCATTCAAAGACTGAAATTAAAAGGCTAAATACATCATTGAGGTTGAGAAGTTAATTGAGTTTAATCTTCTTGGTATATCACAGAACCTCTTCAGAAAGCCAGGAATACCTTCTTTATATGACATACTGGTACTGATGTAGGTATCGACCTTGTATTTCTATGGTCCTAAATATGGCACTATGCTATAGGAAGAGTTTGTCACATGATTTTATACTTTTTTCTTAAAATTTAGGGTTTATGTTCAAATCTTAATTCAAATATTTTGCGCTGTAAGAGGCAGTCTCTATAAGACATGCAAAAAGCCAATTGTGCAAACTTTTTCTTATGTAGATATATTACTTATTCTAAGATATTGATTCCTTATCTTTGCTTGTTGTAGGCCTAGTGATTTCAGCTAGTTTAGACAATAACATAATGTTCTGGGATATGCGTGCAATGAAGCCTCTAGCATACCGGAGAAATCTGGGTGCAGAAGTCGAGTCAATGTCTCTCTCTGGATTTGATTTGATGGTAGCTGTTGGAACATCAGTAAATATATATGATTTGCGAAACTTGGAGAAGCCAATTCATTCAAAAGAATCATGTATGGATGTACAAATAAAATGTATTAGCTCCTTTCCTAACTCTAAAGGTATTACTACAATAATCATGATATCTTTGTATGTTGTGAGCATTTAGTTATTCTAGTAAAGACAGCTTCATTGAAAAATGTCATTATACAAATAATATGAAATAATGAAATGCTGAAGAGTGAATTCACATAATTATATGTGTCCTATAACTATATATTTGCGGTGAAGATTGTTGATAGTTATAGTTTTTCTGGAAACTTCTATTCATCAATGTGTTCGTGCATGTGCTTTCATGCATGCTAGAGTTCTTTAGAAAGGATCCATTTCCCTGCAGGTTATGCTGTTGGATGTGTCGATGGACGGGTGGCATTGGAATTCTTAGATCCATCCAATTCAAATAAGAGGTCAGTTTTTGGACCATATTTATTTATGCATAATTCTAATCCAATCTACATTGGTGAAAGGTCTGAAATGTATGCCTTTTCCAATTAGGATATTTGAAACATAAAAACTTGAATAATGTATATTCAAATTCTTGTAATCATACTTTCCTCTTTCTCGTACTTACAGAAAAAAAAAAAAAAAAAAAAAAATATTTCATAATTCTGTAATCAGTCAGCTTTCTCTCGTTCTCGTTACTTACAGAAAAAAAAAAAAAAAAAAGGTAATGTGTACTTAATTCGTTAATGACTTTTGGTGTCACATTTGTGATTTTAAGCAGTAATTTGGATTAGTTGGCCTAAAAAAAAAAAAAAAAAAAAAGTAATGTGTACTTAATTCGTTCAATGACTTTTGGGGTGTCACATTTGTGATTTTAAGTCCGTAGTTTGGGATAAGTTGCTATAATGTTACATCTACTTACAAGTCTTCAAGATTCTACTGCAGATATGCTTTCCGTTGTCATCCGAAGTCAAAGGATGGAAGAGCACATCTAGTTTCAGTTAATGACATTGTTTTCAATCCACTGTATGTACAATCCTCTTAGTAGTTTTCCAACTCACATCTTTTTGTGAAACTTGGGATTGATTAGGCGTTTTGATAGTGTATGTGGCACTTTCATTACTGGTGACAATGATGGCTACATTATCGCATGGAATGACGAAAGTAAAAGAAAATTACATGAGGTATAGTTTGTCTGATTCAAACTGATTTTTGCACTGTGATATTGTGTTTATTTACTCATGTTGCTAGCACCTTTTTAACTTCTCTTGATTCTAGTTTCCAAGATACCCGAACAGTGTGGCGTCTTTATCATTCAATCATGTGGGAGAACTTTTGGCAATTGCATCCAGTTACACTTACCAAGAAGCCAATGAAATGTATGTGACTCCTTCATCAGCTGTTTTATCTTTGCAATTTTTATCACTTGGGAACTTCTTGTTCTGTTATATCTTTTTTCATTTGGTTTTTTTATTAATATGTGCTCATCCGTTCTCCTTTATCATATTTAAAGATAAATTTGTAATTTGGTCTTTGAACTTCTTGTTTCTAATGATACTTCTGTCTAGCATATAATTGCTTGTTGTGTTTCATCATACATGTCCATCCATTTTGAATTTTCTTCCTTTTTTTGTTGGAAAGAATATTTCTCTTAGTTCCTTTTTTATATGCTATTCTTACTTGGGTCTTGTCATGTTCTATTTCTTAATTATGTTAGATTTTTATTATGTTTTTCAACATATACTTCTGCATGACAGGGAAGTATCCCCTCAGATATTTATACAGAAGATGGGTGACAGCTAAGTTAATTTGTGCTGGAGTTTCAACTAGGAAATGGGTATTTTTGGTGTACTAGGTTCAAAAGGTAACCATACAAATCTATATTATCCATTGCTGGTAGTCACTTATCTCATTGATAGGAGTTGCTGTACCCAAATTAAGTTATCCACTCCCTCTAACCTTGTCCTTGATAAGGCCAATTTAGTCTTCTTTTCATATTTTGGTCATGTCTTACTTTATTCCAACTGGCAAAATGCTTTTCGTGGGAAGAAAAACACTGGTTGTTTAACTATATTCCTTCCTTTTCCAGATAGTTGAAGTCAGCTCAATCGTATTTGTCTTTGATTTATGGATTCTCAATCTTCGGATTAATTGCTAAATCTTGCTAAAAAGTGTCAAGTGTCCAGATTTCTTGTCATGCTTGCTGCTACAATTTCTACTTTCTTTCTTTCTTTTTCTTAATTTATCTTTTTAAAAAAAAGAAATCATGTTACGGCCTAAGAAAGAGCCGAGTCCACAGGAATAGTAGATGTTTCTGTATTTGTAAGATTCCTCTTTCATCATTTCTGTTTCTGAGTTGAACTTGCTGTAGCGCAAGAAGGATTTGATTGAGTGAATAATGAAGAAGCAAAACGATCGGTCTGTACCATCTGATTTTTTTGTCTCCATAAATGAATATCAACCTGAAGTCTCTTATCTGACATTTAAAATCAAGTTAGGCAAGATTATGAAGCTTATAGGGTTTTGGACCTTGAGTTCTGTCCTGTTAAAGTTATGTGTATATTCTCATATCAGGAAAATTCATTGCACAGATTAGTGACTGTACTGTACATTCATAACAATCCTAACTCATACTACCAATATCTGTTTAAAAATTGTTTCATTTCAATCTAACTGATCAAAGCTTCTCAAGGCTGTAATTCTGCAGCTTCTGATTTAATCGAGTTAATTACTAATCTCAATTTATGAAAAACATTATCAAGGGTTTTTACTGTATAAATAAACTGAAAAAGGAGTTCATCTTTTCAAGAAAAAATCAAAAAATATAAATCTTTTGGAATAACAGGAATCTTTTTTTCCCATTTGAAATGAAGTATTCTTTTTTTTTTTTCAATGATTCAATAATACTAATACTGACTGCCAATATTTAAAGAGTCAAAAAAAATTAATGTGACACCATCGTTTGGTCTTCTGAATGCGATGGAAATTGGCGTCTTTTCCCCACACTTAAATGCCTAAAATGTGACCCAATTCTATATACTATTCAAAGTTCTTCAAATCTATTTAGTTATGCGTATTTTATAATTTTTACCATTAATAATTAAATATATAAATGTAATTATCATTCAAAAATATATCTCAGTTTTTATTTTTAAATTATCTATCTCAATATATAAATTATTTAAAATTTTTATACAAAGATTATGAAAATAATTTTTTTTTAAAGGAAAAATGAAATTTGATGATAGAAATCATCAAACAAGACAAATATAATAAAATTAGAAAGAAGGTGACCTTACTTCTTTAGATCATATCTAAAATATGTATGAGTTGCTGACAAATCTATTCATTGATTTTTTAATAAAAACATAGAACAAAATTTTATATATTATTTATTAAGCTTTTATAGTATCAAAATAAGATAAAATAAATAATAATTTAATTAAATTATTTTTTATTTTAAACTCAAAGGTAACTATCAAAATAGTTATTATATTTAATATAAATAATAGTAAAATTGAAAATAAATAATATATTACTCTTTAATATACTTAAATTTTGAATACTTTGGGAGGGAGAGAGTAATTTCTAAATACACAAATTATTTTTAATTTCCATCAATTATCACAATATAATTGATAATTTTATCGTCATATAAATTGGAGAGGCAATAAGTTATCATTGGCCTATACTGCAAAACACGGAGCATCTTTCTCGACAGTGGCACCCACGTGCCATCAGCGTCATTGTAACGCAAAGGCGAGATATTTTTATCTTTCGTCAATCCAACGGTCGAAACTTACTTAAGCTAGCTTTGCAAAAAAAAAAAACCCTAGGTCTTTTTCTTTTTTTATTTTATTTTATTTTTTTCTTCCTTATATACCCCTATAAGTGCTACAAAATCTCTTAGTTGCTTTCCTCTCACGCTCTCTGCTCCTTTTTCTTCCATATTTTTTCATCTGATAGAAAATCTTAAGCTCCCAGCTGCCGCCATGTCTGATGAAGAGCATCATTTTGAGTCTAAGGCTGACGCTGGGGCTTCGAAGACTTACCCTCAACAAGCTGGAACTATAAGAAAGAACGGTTACATCGTCATTAAAGCCCGTCCATGCAAGGTATATTTTTTTTGCTGCTTAGATTGGTTTAGACATTAGATCTGTATTTATATTTATTTATGTTTCATCCTGTTGTGACTGTATTGGATCTATGTTCTGTTAGATCTGTAATGAGTATCGGATCTAGGTTTTTATAGCTCTGGCAAAGGGAAAATAAATTGATTGAATCATGTTGATGAATTGTTAATGGAGAGAAATAAAGCTTTATCGTGGAATTGATTTTGGGGAATTTGAGTTAGAGTGAGTATATAGGTCTTGAGTGAGAGAGAAAATTTCAATTTTGATATGAACTTTAAACTTTAAATTTTGAGTCTGGTTGTTTGGTGTTTTTGTTTGCTTTTATTTTGGGATTTTTCATGATATTGGTAAAAATTGATGTATTTATTCCTTTGTTTTGGTTTCTGGATGATTTGAATTAGTATCGTTAGGTTTATATTTTGGTGGACAAGTTTGAATTATATAGTTTTTAATCAGTATCAGAGGGAATTTATAATTATTATGTAAAATCACATCTCTTATTATGCAACTTTAAAATTGATATTCGTTAAATATAATTGTTCTTCAATTCTTTTTTTTCTTCCCCTTGCATCCTTTTTTAATAATATTCCTTAAAAGGGTCCTTGTTATTGGTGTGATATAATGAATTGCTAGTATTCGTGCTCCTAAAGATATCTGACTGATTGAATTCTTTTACTTCTTTATATCCATCTCTACCAATGACCATCGACAGTTTTTAATAAAGATCATAGTTTTTTTTTTTTTCCCTTTTCGTAACAATAGTTTTATTTTCTCAGGTTGTTGAGGTCTCAACATCCAAAACTGGCAAGCATGGTCATGCCAAATGTCACTTTGTTGGAATTGACATCTTCAATGGCAAGAAACTTGAAGATATTGTTCCTTCTTCCCACAATTGTGATGTACAGACTTTGTGTTTATCATTGTTTTCCATACTTCATTTCATCATGAAGCTTTTTCTTGACTTATGCTTTAATGGTATCACAGGTTCCCCATGTTACACGTACTGACTACCAGCTGATTGATATCTCTGAGGACGGATTTGTATAATCTTACGTTCTCTCGTTTATTTAATTTTTTCCCTCTTTGTAATTTGTTTGACCTTTGTAATTAATATGCTCTGCTAAATTTCAGGTGAGTCTGCTGACTGAGAATGGCAATACCAAGGATGACCTGAGGCTTCCAACCGATGAAAATCTGCTGACCCAGGTTAGTGGAAAATCTTACCTTAGTGGCAGATGGATACCCCTAATCCCGCCACCCAACTTCTGCCTCATTTTAACTATTGACTTTTACTTAAAAGACCTACCTGTGATTATACTTTTAGTATTGAAGTATATTGAACCTTAGGAACAATAGAATGTGGAATGGAACATTAAGAATGAATTTGTTGGTGAAAATGGCAGAATAGTTTGAGTTCCTTTCAAATCATTTAATCTGTGGATAAGAAACTTGAGTTGAATTGGATGAACCATTAATCCCACATTAGGTTTGATAACATTGCCTTCCCTTCCTTCATTTCTTACAAGAACAACCTTAAGCACGGTGTTTTCACTTTCTTCTATTGATCCATCACTGATAAATTTAGCTTGAACTTGAATGATTGTTTTAAATGAGGTTCAGATTTAACTACTGAATTAATATATGGTAATATGATTTAAAGTTTTGCCATGTTAATTAGAATTGTTTTATTATTTTTAGCCCTTGTTCAACGGTATCTAATTGTTTATGTACATTTCTTTGTATCAATGCAGATCAAGGATGGATTTGCTGACGGAAAAGATTTGGTTGTGACTGTGATGTCTTCCATGGGAGAGGAGCAGATTTGTGCTCTTAAGGACATTGGCCCAAAGTAGTTGTTCTTGCTTTGTGGAAGGTCATCCATTGTTGAGTGCTGATCACTGTAGTTTAGCCGTGGGTCTGAGGGTTTGGGAATCGGGCCCATCTCAAGAACATTTTACATGAGATGTGGCTTCACTTATAAGACTTGTCATTAAGTAGCCTTTTATTGTTTATTTATATTTTTGTACTTGGTGTGAAGAAGTTGAATCTACTGGTTAGAGTATGCTTCTAAACACCTTTGGATGTTTCAAAACTATTTACAGTTTCATTCCCCATAGTTTTCATTTTTTTTTTTTTTTTTTGTTAAATAGTTGAATCACTGGTTAGAGTATGCTTCTAAACACTTTGGATGTTTCAAACTATTAACAGTTCATTCCCATAGTTTTCATTTTTTTTTTTTTTTTGTTAATCCCTTTTCATTTTTTTTTTTTTTTTTTTGTTAAATCCCTTGTTATTCTCGGATAACCTTGTGTAGACTATTTATTTATAATTCTGTTATGGAAAAAATGTGTTGGGAAGAAATAATTATGCATATTTATATAGCTTGTAGTTTTGCAGAATTTTCGTTTTGGCTTTAGCTTCCGCGAATCTCAGCTTGCTTTTGGTTCTCGCTGCTTGTCTATGCTTGCGTAACTGTCCATTGTAATCTTTGTTACATTTTTTGAAAATTAGACCTACCATTTGCTTTCATTCTAATTAACGTTTGAATGCCCACAGAATTTTTGCATGTTCTCGTACATGTTCTCATAAAAGCACTGAACACAGTTAATCAACAATTGATGTCAACTTGACAATTTTGCGTTTCAGATGAATCAAGAGTTGCAGATAATTATTTTGAAAAACGATTCAAATAAATGTAGCAGACAAGGTCTTGCACGCTCACAGGCATTTTGTTTGAAATCTCCAGTACCTGTTTTCTTTGAGGCTTTACTGAAATATTGAATACTCCCAAATTCATCAACTACAATCAATTCCTTTGTCAACGAATCTGAGTACGGTCCCAAACCAATCATCAGGAATGGTGCCTCTCACTTCTCCACTCAAGGCCCTCAATGAGTGGCTTGTTGCTGCCTGTATTTACCGCAAAAGATTCTTAATGTTAATTGCACAAACATGGTGCAGTTGGAGATAAGAAAGACACAGAAAATAAGTCGTAAATGAATGAGAACAAAATGTGGCTATAGTTATTACCTTAACAATGTAGACATCAATTCCAAGTTTTGCAATCAATGCAGCCTCTGATATCTTAGTCACCATCCCCCCAGTCGTATCATGGGCTGCTACAGTTATTTCAACTGTTGACAAGAACTGGAAAACTTATTTCGAACTTTTATCAACAAGGTGGGGAATGAAAAAAGGAATTTGTCCTAATACTAAACTATGGCTCTAAACCATCATTTTTACAACAATATACTGCTAAATGGATGCTTGATATGAGAATTCACTGGACGCGGGTAGCACAAATGCAGGTAAAAAGAAGGTTGAAAACACTCCACACAGCAAGCGCACATGCAAGCAAGCATGTATATCAGAATTAGCCATCGCTATCTTGCAACATCAGAACCTAGTTATTTTCACAAACCTTGTTCATTTGCATTCTGGAGTGTTGGCTTCACAACAGACCAGCTTCCATCCTCATTAACCGCTGTCATGATTTGAAAATGAAAATTGGTTATTTGCATGCATTCAATTTGAAAGATTCACAAGCAACATCTAGGTTGAAAATATGAGTACTTGCCGATCTCCCTCAAGAGAATTGCATCTGGCTCTGAAGGTGGACGGTCATACACACCCAAAACATCTGTCTTTGATCTATGTTAATTGGATAACAAGCAAATAACTTTTTTTCTCGTCAACAAATGATATATGGTAAGTATCAAAATGACCGTTAATCCAAGACTGATTGTGCATAAAAATATGAAGATTTAAGAAACTGATTTACAGAGGATTGTCCAAGATATGGAAGCATATGAAGAACATATCATGGAAAAAGGATACAAGGAACACCACATATTCCGGTTTCAAGTAGGCTGCAAGATGACGTATAATGACATCACCACTCAATATGGTGCATCCCTGATTACATAAGCAACATAAATGCATGTCAATTCCAACTCTATAATCGCAATGCCACATCTATTGTTGGAGAAACCAAACCTGTAACTCATCAAGTACAGCATCTCCATGTAGAACCTAGAAAGCAAATAAAAATATATGATAACGCGGCATTTTCAACCAAAAGTTAGAAAAAGAGAAAAAGAGAAAAATAAAGCTTGATTGAGATATCAAATAGAAAAAGAAACCATGTCTCCTTAACTTGAGTAAATTCAATAACAAGAGATTCATGATAAAAGGTCGTCTTAGCAATGGCTCTATGCCAACAAGCAAATGGTTTATCACCCAAAGGCACACATGCCTACAGCTACAGTTTAATATATCTCATTGGAAGTCCAAGAGGCAGTTTATCACCTCAATTGAAACTAGACCTTTGAACCTTGTAGCTGCATTGCAAAGTAAATATCTCATGCCATAATATCAAATTTCATTATAGACCACAAGCTCTTGAAATCTGTAGGCAGCCAAAACAAATGGCATCAAGGCTTTGTTAACCCAAGATATTGACCTAAAATAGTGAATTCTTTTATTCATAATTTCAGTTGACCTCTAGTAGGGATGGCAAAATCAGCCCGACCCGATGGGTATGCACCCAACCCGAACCCAGTCAAACCCGATTTTTAGGGTTTTGATTGGGTTTGGGTAAAATCGGAAAGTTTCGTTTTGGGTATAGGTAGGGTATGAGTATCGTTATTATAAACTCAAACCTGATCCCAAACCCAATCTGAACTTTTGGGTCGGGTAATATCCGAACCCGATACCCAAACCCTAAAAGGTTTGAAAATTAATTATTTTCTTTAAATTGTAGTATGAAATATTTAATAAAGTAAAATAATTGTAATTTGAATAAATTTGAGTTAATTTGAATAATTTAAATTAATTTCAATAATGTGAATAGTTTAAATTAATTTGAATAATTTAAATTTATTTAAACAATTTGAAATTTTCAAATTTTTTAAGTTTTAGGATTTTAAAATTTAAAGTTCAATATTTAATATTTCATTTAAATAAATATCTTATTTTTAATTTTATATTTTAGTCTATATATATTATTTATTGTAGTTTAAATTAATTTCAATAATGTTGAATAGTTTAAATTAATTTGAAATAATTTTAAATCTAAAATTTAAGACATATTAGCAGAATTTTCAAATTTCTTTAAGCTTTTAGGGAATTTAAAATTTAAAGTTTTCACTATTAGTACTTTCATTTAAAATAAATATCTTTTTATTATTTAATTTATATTTTAGTCCTATATATATTATTTAGTTGTAGAGTTGAAATACTCACTATTTAGTTAGGCATGAAGGAAATTGAAAAAATTTATTATTGTTAGAGTCGCTGCGTGTCCCTCTTCTTTCTTCTTTCTCTCGACAGAAACAAAACATTTTACTTAATATGAGCTTTAACACAAGGTAATAGTTACAGATAGAGAAGTCTTTTTATTCAAAACGATACGTTTCTCAAAAGCAAGTGGTGTCAAGTCATCATCGTTTCTTCGTTCACACTTGCTTTAATCATGTTGAAGAGTCCTACTACCTATTGCCCTTTGAGTGACACATTATGATAAGGAAGAGCAAGCATTATGATAAAAAGCGCAATTTTGTAATTAAGAACTCTCAATTATCAATTTTTTGAACATTTATTTCATTTATTAATTTATTTTCCATATTTTTTAAATGGAAAGATAACTTTTAATTTTTTTACTTCTTTTATTTATTGATTTCAATAATAATTCTATATTTTTACACCAAATTTTGAATATACGCAGTAGAATAGGCGTATTTGTGGGCGCAATAATAACCCATGGTAACCGAACCCCATTGGGGTTTAAGGCAATGGGTATATGCGAACAATTTCTAAAAACCCGATAGGGTACTTGGTAGTGGTACCTGGGATGGATAGCGGGTTTTGTGTGTTATGGGATTGCACTACCCAACCGAAATGCCCTACCGCATTGCCTCCTAACCTCTAGAAACCATTGGAACATGGCCAAAAAAGGTCATATGAAATTACCAAATAAATTTGGTACAGCTATGTGAAACTGAAATGTTAAAGTTGTCTGTAATTAGTCTTTAGTGACTCAAGTTCAGAACGTCCTGTCTATATACAAATAGCTATACCTTTTTTGATCAAAACAATATTTTTTGGAAAAAATGTTAAGCATAGGACGTTTAGTTTACATCTCTTAAGACCCTATTTTGGCAACTATCAATAACAGGGGTAAAAGGACTCTGCTGCGCCAGTCTTCAAGAGCGTCGATCTGGCTGACCTATTGCACAATGACATGTAAAAAAGGTAAAATATTTTGCTTTGGGTCAGTTTGGATTGTGTTCTTTACACGTAGGAGAGCAGCCAGATGACAGGAAGAATGGACCCATATCTAATTGTATTTGATGAGAGTCCCCTGGCTTCTACCATCCTATTTGGTGCAATATTGTGTAAACTGGGGCCGGACACAGTCATTGCCGAGAGAGCCTCTCTGCAAAGGGGCAGACTACATCTCGCTATTCTCCTCAGGCCTGGATTTTCTAAATCCCTCCTTTCTGTATTTGCAAAGCTACATGATTAGGTTTGTCCTTTTGGGGTGCACCGAACCATATGAGTCATTGTGACACTAATCTTTTGAAGCCACAGTTTATAGTTGACAGGCATCAAAAGACAATCTATGACTTGAACCAAGAGACATAATACACGAGACACTGGACTTTCATTTATCAAGTAATTTAATGATCCAGAGCAAACGGTGATAATATATAGGATCATACCGATGAAAGCCTTATAAGAATTTTAAAGCATCTATCGACCACGCAGTAGAAGTAGAGCCAGAATTCTATAGGTCTTACAGGTACAAATCCAGAATCAATTGCCTTCGCAACCTTGAACAAATTGGCCGATGCTATCTTGAAGGGGGGGGGAAAAAAAGGTCAAGCTTAGAAGGTTGAGAATTAATACAAACACTAAAATAGATTTAAAAAAAGGGACCCATATTTGAGATGGCAAATAAGAATAATGAATAAATCACTCTTTTTGCAATGCCGTCTTGGACATTTCTTTCTGAATTGAACCAATCCATCTATGAAAAGATTGGCCGACATTTCGCAATGGAAATGAATGCCCCTGTGAGAAAAAGGCACTTGTTAAAAGTGATGCGTGCACATCCCGAACAGAGAGAGATAGAAAAGACAGATATATGAGCTACTGTACAAAGTCTACAAAGTATTCAATTGGAAAGAAATGCAGCTATCTCAAGTCCTATTCTCTAATTTCAAAAACTCCATGAAAATCAATTTCAATGCTCATTATAATAGTTTAAATAAAGAAACATCAACTCGAGAAGTGAATACAGAAAAAGGATGAAGGCAATTTTCCAACTTCAAAGGCTAAGTTTGAATTTAATGTATCTTGTGCTTAAAAACTATAGTATTACCCAATTGAAACTACATAATTGACAAAGAATAATGCAACAAACAAATAATTTTTATTTGTGTTCACAGTAGCTTTATCACTAGCATTTTCCATCTTCATCATTTTTCACAGAGTGATAACACAGACACATACAATCACTATAATCATCCGTTAGTTTCCCTCCAAAATCTTAAGTCTCAAAACCCGTCTTGCATAACGATACATAGAAAAGCCTCAAATACAGACCCTTAAAGAGAAAGGTGTCACTGAGGCCTCATGCCATATACGTCATTTTTGTACAAAAATTTCACTTTCCCTCCCTCCCTTGCAAAAATCAGTTTCTCAAAGATTTTTTAGTTACACCTTATTTTAAGTTAAAGAAATCCTGAGACACACTTTTTTATCAGAGTTATTTTAATTATTTAAGGGTATCATTGTTTTAGGCAATTTGGTTTTTATGGTTTATGCCAGCATTAACAAGTCATTTTTTGCACGAAGCAAAAAGTGGTATCGAAAAAAATCTATATTGGACATTTTTCAACTCTCCAGCCCAACATAAGTTCTCAAAAAAAAAATGTATAAGCATTGTAGCTCACATCTATAATAATCATTCGATATCATTCATCCTATTACTAGATATTGAACAAATCTACAGAGAAAATATAGATATGGCGACTAAATTTTTGTTTTCTTACGTCTACATTTAAACATAGAAACACATTTGTTATTGCACTCACTATGCCTCCAAACGATATGACCTTATGGCAATATTCTATCCGAACCCCTTCTACTCGAGGCTCGTTCAAGCAAGAAATGCAGATTGCAAGAGCAAAAAGCTTTCGTAAACCTAGACTAAATTTTTAGGTTGTCAGTCATTTTGATTACAAAACAACTTTCAGATAGTGTATTATATCATAAAAGAGTTACTATTGTCTATGGAAAAAGGAACAGATAAAAAAAAGCATATATATCACAATAAAATAAAGCTATTTTATTACTATTGAGACACCATGTATCCAAAATTCAGGCTTAGACACCCGAGAACATTTTCTAAGATTTCCAGAGTTGTAACCTGAAACCAAATAAACCATCAAAGAATAGTATAACACAAATAGTTCCGATAAAAATGGGATAAAAATATTGTCCATGAAATGAATCTGTCTAGAGACCATCAATATTTAATATTTCATTTAAATAAATATCTTATTTTTAATTTTATATTTTAGTCTATATATATTATTTATTGTAGATTGAAATTACTATTAGTTAGCATGAGAAATTGAAAAATTATTATTGGTTAGAGTCTCTCTTGTTTTCTTCTTTCTCACAAAAACAAAACATTTTATTAAAAGCTTTAACACAAGTAATAGTTACAATAGAGAGTCATTTTATCAAATATTTCAAAGCAAGTGGTGTCAAGTCATCATCGTCTTCGTTAATTTATCAGTTGAAGAGTCTACTACTATTGCCCTTGAGTGACACATTATGATAAGAAGAGCAAGCATTATGATAAAAAGCGCAATTTTGTAATTAAAATTTTAATTTATCATTTTTTGAACATTTATTTATTTATTAATTTATTTTCATATTTTTAATGGAAAGATACTTTTATTTTTTTTAATTCTTTTATTTATTGATTCAATATAATCTAATTTTTTACACAATTTGAATATATGAGTAAATAGGTATTTGTGGGCAATAGATACCCATGGTAACCCGAACCCCATTGGGTTTAGGCATGGGTATAACATTCTCTACCCGATAGGGTATTGGGTAGGGTATGGGGATAGGGATAGGGTTTGGGTATGGGGATTGCACTACCCAACCCGAACCCTACCCATTGCCATCCCTAACCTCTAGAACCATTGGACATCCAAAAAAGGTCATATGAAATTACCATATTGGTACAGCTATGTGGAAACTGAAATGTTAAAGTTGTCTGTACATTAAGCTTTAGTGACTGCAAGTTCAGAACGTCCTGTCTATATACAATAGCTATACCTTTTGATCAACATATTTTTTGGAAAAATGTTAAGCATAGGACGTTTAGGTTACATCTCTTAAGACCCTATTTTGGCACTATCATAACAGGTAAAGGCTGCTCGTCATCTCAAACTCATTGGCTGATTATTCACAATGACATGTAAAAAGTATGTTTTGCTTTGGGTCAGTTTGATGTGTTCTTACACGTAGGAGAGCAGCCAGATGAAGGAGAATAGCCCCATATCTAATTGGATTTGATATACCTGGCTCAGATCCATTTGGTGCATATGGAACTGGGGCCGGACACAAGCATCCAGAAATTTCTTGCAAGGGCAGACTTCATTGCATCTCCTCAGGCCTGGGATGTCTAACCCTCCTTTTGTATTTGCAAAGTTACATGATTAGGTTTTCCTTTTTTGTTGACGAACCATATGAGTCATTGTGAACAATTTTGAAGCCACAGTTTTATAGTTGACATCAAAGACATCTATGACTTGACAAGAGCATAATACAGAGACAATGCTTCATTTACAAGTAATTATGATCCATGCAACTGAAAATATATAGGATAATGAAAAGCTTATAAGATTTTAAAGCATCTATGAACCAGTAGAAGTAGAAGAATTATATCTTACAGGTACAAATCCAGAATCAATTGCCTTAGCAACCATTGACAAATCTGCCGATGCTATCTGAGGGGGGGGAAAAAGGTCAAGCTTAGAAGGTTGAGAATTATACTAAATCACTAATATGATTAAAACAAAAAGGACCCATATTTGATGCAAATAAGATAATGAATACACTCTTTTGCAATGCCTCTGACATTTCTTTCTGAAGTTGACCATCCACATGAAAATGGAGACATTCCAATGGAATGAATGCCCACTGTGAGAAAAAGAACTTGTTAAAGTGATGCAGTGCACATCCCGAACAAAGTATAGAAACAGATATGGCTACTGAGAAGCTACAAAGTATTCAATGGAAAGAAATTTGCAGGCTAATCAAGTCTATTCTCAATTTCAAAACTCCATGAAACCAATTTCAATGCTCATAATATGTTACATAAAGAAACATCAGAGAATGAAACAAAAAAGATGAAAATTTCCAACTCAAAGCAGTTGACATTTAATGTATCTTGTGTTAAAACTAGTATTCCAATTGAAACTACATAATGGACAAAGTGATATAATCAAGAAACAAATAATTTTATTTGGTTCACAGTAGCATATAGATTCATCTTCATCATTTTTCACATGATACAAGAAACATACAATCACTATACAATCCGTTAGTTTTCCTCCCTTCTTGCAACCTTTTCATAACGATACATAGAAAACCCAAAATACAACCCTTAAAGAGAAGTGTGCACTAGGCTCATGCCAATATCGTATTTTTGTACAAAATTCACTTCCTCCCTCCTTGCAAAATCATTTCTCAAAGATTTTAGTTACACCTATTTTAGAAAGAAATCCTGAAAATTTTTTATAGAGTTATTTTAATTATTTAGATCATTTTAGGCAATTGGTTTTATGGTTTATGCCAGCATAACAAGCTACTTTTTGCAGAAGCAAATGTGGTATCAAATCATAATTGACATTTTCAACTCTCCAGCCAACATAAGTTCTCAAAAAAAAATATAATTCATTGTACTATAAATAATCATGAAACACACTCTTTTACAAGATATTTTAAAATCTACCAGGAAAATATAGATAGCGACAATTTGTTTTTACGTTAATCTTAAACATAGAAACACATTTGTTATTGCATAAATGCCCACTAGAGCCTATGGCAATTTCACCGAACCCTTCTATCAGGCTGTTCAAGCATGAAATGCAGATTGCAAGAGCAAAAAGCTTTCGTAAATAACTAAAAGGTTGTCCAGCATTTGTTACACTTTCAATAGTGAAAATATAAAGACTATTCTTGTCTAGGAAAGAACAGATAAAAAAAGCATGTATAAAAATAACCTTTTTATTACTATTACCTCTAGCTAGCACTCGAACAATTTCAAGATTCAGAGTTGTAACCTGAAACAAATAAAAATAAAAGATATATAAACAAATAGTCGATAAAAATGGGAGATAAAAAATATTCCATGAAATGATCTGTCTGAGACCAAACCCAAATTTCCATAGAAAATTTAGCATAAGTAGCATAGAAACTTGATGGATATGAGAGAATATTTTATACCCCAATCAATTATGAAGAGGTAGAAAATTAGATTCACATTTCCCTTAGAAATCATCCAATAAATCTGGTCAAGAGTACACTGACAATTGACATCACTTTTTGTCAAGCTAATTTTTGCTCATGATCTCAAAAGGAGTCATATAAAGCTTCAAAAGTAACATTAAAACCTTAAAATACAAATTTTGGTAACCACTAGCCCATTCCAAGTTTGACACACAGATCCTTGATATTTACCATGCTTCTGTCAGTGAAATGTAAGAATAACATAGTGACAATTTAAAGGTGAAAGTTTTTCTAGATGAAACAAAGAAAATACTAAATAAATCTTCCAAAAAATCAGAATAAACTTTTTGTCATTTTAGCACCTTCAGTATGCCAAAGCTTGAAATAGGTTATGAAATTTTCTATGTATTTGAGAAAGTGACGCTTAGACGTTAAAGAAAATGTAATTCCCTATGGATTTTGTTGTGGCAATTACATTAATATATCATATGGATGAACATCCCAGACTCAGTGGGAATTTTTAACAGATAACAGCAGTTACAAACAAGGGCCACCTTTAAGCTTGGCATCCATTCCAAAAACTTTAAAGGAGTATTTAACAACTTTTCTGCCCAAACTAAGTTTCCACATTTATAGTACCTATGGTGTAAAACAAATCAATAATTGTACAAAACTTGGACATGGTTCATTAACAACAGGACACTGAAGCGCCATAAACATATCAAACATTTTCAATTGTAACAACACCACCTATGCACTTGGATTCATAACAGCACTTGGCTTCATAACAGCTTAGCACATAAAGATTTGCACTTCAGAATACTCGCTGAAATATCATGAGAAAATAAAAACAGAAAAAGAACATATAGTATCCAAGTAAATCTTACTGAGATGCGTGTAGCAACAAAACCAGCCCTGACAAGTGGTTGGTCCAATCCTCCCTTATGAACCCCCGATTTGCTAGCCTGAAAATGCCCAAAAGAACCTGAGGCCAATAACACAGAAGATAAATTCAACCACGTCTTTAGCAAACTAGAGGTGTGAAGATCACTTAAAAATTAAAAGACTAAAGCAATGAAACAGTTCATGCTTATTCAATAATGATTCAAGAAACAACTGTCGAAAATACCTGCTCCATGAACAACAACAAAACTGCTAGAATCCAACAAGGTTTGGTCTTCAAAATTATCCACATCACAGGAAATTTCAGGATCTCCAGGTTTCTTGCTCCAATCAAACCCAATAACTTTTTGGGACCCAGACCCCGTAATCATAGCTTGCCTTAGCTGCAAGGATACAACCTCAAGATTTTCTTCATTTACCTTCTCTAACTCATTCTTGCAAGTAATTGCAGCACCTCCTGCATCCAATATACTATGATATATAAAGACAGAGAAAAGTCCAAATTCTCAAACAATTCTTGAAGTTTCTTGTCAAGGTAATTCATTTTGTATCTCTGGATCCATTAAGGATAGCATATTAACTTTATTACAATGATAATTAGGCTTAAATCAGAAAGTAACAATCTTTTGTGAACCAAAACATCAAAAGAATCAAACTCAGCTTAAATGAGATCCAATATATTCCTTTTTACTAAGCCATGATAATGTAAATCGCTAAAAAATGCAAAGACATGACATGGGTCAATCGCAGAAGCTGAAAAATATGAAAGAGAAAAAAGAAGACGGACCAAGTTTAACAATGCAGCGAACTGGTTTAGTGAGATTCGGAGCAGTGTAGTCCTCCATTTCTCTACTCTTTTGTTTTAGCTTATTTCTGCTATCTGCTGTACTAGCTAGTTGTAGCTCATTCACACTTTCAAACCGCTTCAACTCGAATTCTCGACTCCAGCACTCGGCTTTCTCCGCAGTTGAGCCGGTTCGGTAGACTCGCTCAACAATATTTTTTGTTCTGTTTTTTTGTTCCCCCAATTCAAGCTAACTGACTGGACATGAAAAATTGTTGGGCTTGCACAAAATGTTTGTCCAACCCAACTTATAATAAGGGCTTTGTCCAAGCCCAACTCATTCATTAGGACTGATTTCGAAAATTAGTACTCCCTCCCATGTCTAAGTTTGATTTACATTTTCTTTTTCTTTTTTTTTTTTAAAAAAAATATCTCATTGGTAAGACTTTTTGCTGGCATCAACCTTTTTTTCTCCTTCAACTTTATATAAATACATAAAAGTAGATATAGACATTTTAAATACAAAAAATTTCTATCCTTTATGTGACAAACGAAAAAAATAAAATTTCATTTTCCCCAAACATTGCAATTTTTTTTTCCTTTTTGAAATTGGCCTAAAATACAATGGTTAATCATGTAAATTTTATAAAATGAGCACATGTGAACATCAAAGTTCCTTCAATTGTGGGATTTGTGTGACAAATACATGCCTTAAAAGGACAATTTGTCCCACAATAATTAATTACAGAAGGATACAAAATTTGTTAGTGTATCTCTAGAAATTAGACAAACCAATATTTATTTAATTAATTAAAGAAGCAAGCCATGAGCCTGCGTGCTATGCACTATGCACTAGCCCAATGCAGTTGGCCATCAATATTCACAACTAATAAGCAATAATTAATGGCAAATTGGCCAACCACACATTTCTTGCTCGGTAGAATCAACTACGGACATTTTAAATTTGTACCCAATCTTTTGAAAATACATATAGGAAAGGATATAATACTAATTTTATTTTTGTCTTCTATTTAACAAGGCATGTAGATATAACTTAACCTAATTACTCCATCTATCTATAAATATAAGTGACATTAAGTTAATTCTTTTAACTATAATTTTGAGATATGTTAATGATTAATTAATAATATTTTTTCAACTTTACCTTATTTATATTAAAAATAATAATTATTTTTTAAAGTGTAATTTAGTCAAATTAATGAATATTTTATTATAATTTAAATGAAATAATTGTTTCTTCAATCACTTGTAGTAATCTTAAACGACTGATATATTGCTTTAGATTAAGCCAATTCCACCACATCCTCCATCTTGGATTGTTAAGATTTGTAAATGGAGAAGAATTTTGTCCTACAGGTGAAATTGAGAACTTCTTATAAAATTATTCATCTTAAGATTTTTCTTAAACGAGCATACTCGACTTTAGAGTCTTTATAACTCTCCAAGTAATTCCATCAAAAGGCACTTGCAGTGATTAATTTCTTCTGTTTCAATATATGATTCGATTTATTACTGTATCCCGCATTTCACTATCCTAGCTATCATCTCTTTCCTAGAAGCTTGCTAGAAACTATGCTCTACTCATTCTTTTCAAAATGCTTAACCAGGTCAGGATGTCACATGATATTTGTAGGTAGAGAGAATAATTTGAATCAATCATTCATTCTTCACTTTGTTAATTATAGATTGTAAATGATTTAAGAAAAATAGAGATATATTTCTTTTTTTGTAAATAATCAAATTCAAAACTCATAAGGGGAGAAATACAAATTAGAATTAAATGTTTCTAAAACCCTCACGCTAAATTAAGACATAACTTGTATAAGTACAAATGAATTAATGTGGCATATGCAACTTGTAAGAAATAAATTCTTAAGGCTTTGACAAAATTTCCAAATATGTAGAAGTTGTCTAATGCCAACCCCACTCTTTATATGTGTGTTAAAGGCGCTTTGACATTCGACAATGTGTTTGTGACTTTGTGTGCACTTCTTTATCTCCTCTATTTACTTTGGGCACATATATGAGAACACTTATTCTTGCCTTGATTGCTATTGCAACAAACAAAAATCAGTGATTCTTTAAGGTGGTGGTCTATCTTTTTATTATAAATTATAATTATTATAAATGAGTTGAGTCGAACTTTTTCGGTTTAAATTTAACTAGTTCAATATATATTTAAATTTCAAAAATAAAAATCATATTTGATTCATTAAATTTATCAAATAGGTTCACAAATCACTTCATTGTTTTAAAGCTCGATCATTGTATATCATTGCTTTAAATACCATTTGGATTGTTATACGAGCCTTGTTTGAGTATGGGTAAACAGAATAAAGAAGTATAATTTCTCAAGAAATGCATAAAGTTTTTATTTTATTTACCTATTGAAAATAAGTCATTCAATGAGATAACTTTTTATAAATAGTTAAAGAAAGTCACATTTTTTAGTTAAACACGGTAAATTTATTAATTTATTGTATTATCTAAATATACTTTAAACTTTTAATATGAAAATTAACATCTTTTATAAGTCGATAGAAACTTGCAAACCAAGTCATATAATTTTTTTCTGGAAGTGTATTTTAAGAAGTATACTTCCTAAAAACTCAAAAGTAAATCATCTTGTGCCAAACAAAGCCGTAGCGTGACAAATTTGAGAAATTGAGATTATTAGGAATAATAATAATAATCCTAAATCCTAATATACTGCCAGTTTGCCAGATGAGAAACCATCTGTAAATAAATACAGACAAAAACAAACAACCATTGCCACTTGCTACAAACTTACTTGCCCAATTACATCACATGTTTCCTCCTCCATCCCTTTTTTTTTATTTTAATTTATTTATGTAATTACTTCCCAAAAAGACATGTTTGTCTCAAAATCTCTTAATCAATCCTTCCGATTCTCTAATTATCAGGGATAAAATGGTCAATTCGACCCATAAAAGTTTTATTCGGACAACAAAACAGACAAACGTTTTTTATTTTTTAAATTATCGGTATCTGCGGCGTGGACTTTTTGCAGAATTTCAGATCCGCCAAAGAAACCCAAAGGACGCAGAAAGAGAAGTTGAGAAAAAGCAAAAGCGAAAACAGAAGAAGAAGAAGAAGAAGAAGATGAAAGTCACTTACGATTATAAGTTTTTGTTTTTTGTTTGGATAGAGAGAAAGTAAAAAGTGGAAATATTTATACATAATCATTGTTGCAACTTTTTTCAGCCTAATTTTAATGGCTGAAAATGGAGCCCAGCGGCAGCAGCAGCAGCCGCCTCTACCGGCGGCATCGTCTTCTTCATCTCCTCCGAAAAATTCTTCCCCTGCTTCTTCCCGCCCTACCACCATCACTCTCCCTCCTCGCTCCTTTAACGAAACGATCTTTAACACTGGCTCCGGCATCGGTGTCAATATGGGATTAGGCTTCAGTCCTGGCCCTATGACTCTCGTTTCTAGCTTCTTCTCCGATTCTGATGACTTCAAATCTTTCTCCCAGCTTCTTGCAGGCGCCATGGCCTCTCCTGCCGCTGCCAACAATAATAACAAACTTTCCTTTCCTTCTCCTCCCCTTCTTCAGGAGGATAAAAGCTCCGCTGCTGACGTCAGCAAGCCGAACAATTTATCCATTGTTCCGCCACCGCCGATGTTCTCTTTGACTCCGGGGCTTAGCCCGATGGCTCTCCTTGACACGCCGGGGTTGGGACTCTTTTCTCCTCAGGTAGCTGATCGTTCAAATATTTGTACTGGTTCATTAATCAGATGTCATTTTGTTTAGTTCTTGGAAATATTAGTTTTTATTTTTTGTTTTTACTTTCTAAACATTGCATAGTTTTAGCAGTAGATTGACAGCTTAAATCGTTTTGTTGATACGTTAACCTTTTTCAATTTTGCAATCTTCCTCGTTGCACACGAGGAAAAGGGTTTGGTGGAGGTTTTTATTAGCGAAATGATAATTATTTTTAGGAAAATTATTGTTTGATGCCAGAGTTGTTTTAATGAAAAATGTAAAGATGTAATGTGTGTTGTGTGTGTACTTTTAGAGTTTGCAAAAGATTTTGACTCTACCTTTCAAGTTCTTTTTTTCTTTGACGAAGAAATTTAAGCTCAAATATTCACGGGCCAGTTTCATGTATTGAGAGTTTCATCAAGGATAAGATTGGAGCATTATTTTGGCTTGTCAATGTTCATCTATTACTGACATCATGGTTATTTTGATTTGTCAATGTTCATCTATTACTGACATCAATCTGTGAATGGAACCAACCACGTGACTTCAATACTTTGATTCATGGGATTTTTTTTAATCGATAAATTAAGGAATGGGAGTATTTGGAGTTCAGATATTTAATACATTTGGCATTGTTCTGCTTTATCACGTCCATAATTTGCTGAGGTACATTGAGCTAGTAACTCAACGGCCAAGTGCTTGCCATGATTTACATCACCTCCACCTTGAAGGTTTTTTTTTTTAAAATGAGATTATTGTTGTGATTTGGGGCTCTATTTACCATCATTTGTGTGATAATTCAAAGATTTAAGTTCTTATCACCAATTCTGAAAACCCTTCTTTCTTTGATTAAAGTGAAGATGTTGTTGAGCATCAAATTTTGGATGATGCTTGCCAAAATTTTGGCTCTCCAAAGCTAACAAAGATACTTTACTAGAATGTGATGCATAATTGAGTCCTATCTCTCTTTTTACATGATACTTTACTGTAGTAAGTATGACTGTGTTTTTGGCCATCTATTGCTTAAATTCCTGTGGATCATGGCTAACTTCCCCTACTATTTCTGCATCATTATTTATTTGTAATTGCATAAGCTTTGGATTTTCTCTTTTGTTTTGTTAATATAATATCAAGTGGCTGAATTTCTGTCTTTCTCAATGACGGCATGGTCATCTTTCTGTTATATCTTTTATGCAATCTCATTAAATGCTGCATTCTTCTGATACTCAATGACTATTTTGTTTTCAAAAGTCAAAATGTATAAAAGCAACAATGAGTGTCAGCATGTGGTCTAGTAGTGCAAGTATTGGAGCAGTAGTGAGATTAGCAACTTGAAAAAAAATACTTCTGTCATTTGCTCACTACTTAGCGTTTGATCCAAAAGAACTTTATGCTTATAAATATATATTAGATCCAACGATGCTAGCATGTGAATGATGTATCAATAATGTGTTTCTGTTTGACAGCCAATTCTGTTATCATTTGATAATTTAATTGTTTATGAGGTTTGCAGGGACCATTTGGAATGACTCACCAGCAGGCCCTGGCACAGGTTACTGCCCAGGCAGCACAAGCTCATTCCCATATGCACGTTCAAGCACAATATCCATCTACATTATCATCTGCATCAACATCTTTAACACAAGTTACATCTGTCAGTACTAATACAACAACTCGCCAGGAGATGCTAACCTCAGTGCAAGACCCTAGTTCATCTGTGAAGGAATCGTCAGACTTCTCATATTCTGATCAGAGATTCCAGGCTTCTTCACTTGCTGTCGACAAGCCTGCTGATGATGGCTACAATTGGCGAAAATATGGGCAGAAACAGGTGAAAGGCAGTGAATTTCCTCGAAGTTATTATAAATGCACACATCCCAATTGTCCTGTCAAGAAAAAGGTTGAGCGATCTCTTGATGGTCAAGTGACTGAAATTATCTACAAGGGGCAGCATAACCATCAACCTCCCCAACCCAATAAGCGTGCAAAGGATGCTGGAACCTCAAATGGAAATTCAGATAACCAGAGTAATTTTGAACTAGCTTCTCAATTGCAAGGTGGAAACGTGAATAAATTGAAAGATAGAAAGGATCAAGAATCAAGCCAGGCTACACCCGAACATTTATCTGGGACAAGTGACAGTGAGGAAGTTGGTGACACTGAAACTGGTATGAAAGAAAATGATGAAGATGAACCTGATCGCAAGAGAAGGTACTTTTATACGACTAAATGCTATGTGGTAGTAGGATAGTCTATCATGCATGTCTAACAAAGTCTTTTTGCTATGCAGAAATACAGAAGTCAGAGTAACAGAGCCAGCTTCTTCACATAGAACTGTTACCGAGCCTAGAATCATTGTGCAGACTACCAGTGAAGTTGATCTCTTGGATGATGGCTATAGATGGCGAAAATATGGACAGAAAGTTGTGAAATGCAATCCTTATCCAAGGTGGTTTTCCTTAGCCTATATGATTTTAGCTTGTATCAATCATGTGAATGAATGCTGTTCTTTGGTTCTAATGATCTTTCCTTATGGATTGATACTTTAGTAGGCTTTGCTGTGTGCATAAGATGGTCAAGATATGAATGCTCCTTTCAAGCATTATTTATCTGCAAAATAACGCCAAATTTGAACGTGTTATTTTCATGGTTTGGGGTTCCTATAGTAGTCATTAACATGTCAAATGTAACCAAAATGATTTGCATATCAGTGAAATTGATATCTTCTAATTTCAAACCAAAATAGCCTTCAATTGCCAGACATTGTTAAATTGGTCTTAGGAACCTATTTACAGGATGCAACTGAGTTCATAGTTCAGGCTTATTCTTCATCCTGTCCTTGATATCGTTGAATCATCTTTATCGTCACTTTTCTTCTCTCTCTCTCTCTCTCTTTGGTGGGCTTTCATTACTCTTTGCTGCTTTTGCTGGTCATTAGGGTATTTTATAGTGACTAGTGTTTTCCCAGTTAAAGACTGAACAACATTTTTCTGATTGAATGTTTAACACTCTTCCATACATATGATTATTTAATATTTGTCACATGGCTTTGTAGTCTTTTCAGTGTTAACAACAGTGTCCTGAACCATGTATGTGCTGTTAGTATCATGTTCATCTGTTGCTTATTCCTTTAATATCAAATCTAAAAATCCATTTTGCAATTGCCAGATTTTTCATCCAAAATATATGTTCTTTACTTGCCTTTAAATTTTGTTGTTAACAATTGTTGCTGATTTACAGGAGCTACTACAAATGCACAACCCCTGGCTGCAAAGTCCGTAAACATGTCGAAAGAGCTGCAACAGACCCAAAAGCAGTTATAACAACATATGAAGGCAAACATAATCATGATTTACCAGCAGCTAAAGGGAGCATCCACAGCACAGTCAATAGTAGTCTGTTCTCATTTGGTATTCTAATCGATCCTTTCCTTATGGAATTCGATTACTTTTAGTAGAGGCTTTGCTGTGTGCATAAGATGGTCAAAAGATATGAAAGTGCTGCTTTCAATGCATTATTTATTTCTGCAAAATAACGCCAAATTGTTGAACGGTTATTTTCATGGTTTGGGTTTCCTATCGTAGTCATTAACATGTCAAATGTAAACCAAAATGATTTTGCATATCAGTGAAATTGATATCTTCTAATGCAAAACCAAAATACGCCCTTCAAATGCCAAGACACATTGTTAAATTGGTCTTAGGAACCTATTTACCGCGATGCAACTGGCAGTTCACTCTCCAGTCATCCAGCGCTTTATTTCATTCATCCACATTGTCGGCGTTGAATATTCTAGTATATGATAAATTACATCTTGTTGAGAGTCGATACACTTTGCCTTCTTCTCTCTCTCTCTCTCTCTTTGGTGGGCTTTCATTACTTTCCTTTGGGCTGCTTTTGCTGGTCATTAGGTGTATTTTATAGTGACTAGTGTTTTCGCCAGTTAAAGTACTGTAACAACTATTTTTTTTCTGAGAATGTTTTATACACTCTTCCATACCTATAATGATTTATTTAATATTTTGTCACATTTGTGCTTTGGGTTAAGTCCTTTTCCAAGTTGCTTTAACCAAGCATGTAGTCCTGAACCATGTATGAATGCTGTTAGATACAAGGAATTCAAAATACTGTTGCCTTATATCCTTTAATAAAAGAAATCAAAACATTCATTTAGCAATAAGGAAAGATATTTCATCCGAAAATCTATGGCTTATATACTTGCCTTTAAATTTTTAGGTTTTGTTTAAAATTGTTGCTGATTTACAAGTGCAGCTACTATATATGCACAACCCCTGGCTGCAAAGTCGTAAACTATGTCGTATATGAGCTGCAACAGACCCAAAGTCATGTTAATAAAAACATATGAAGGTCAAACATAATCATGATTTAAGCAAGCTAAATGGAGCGCATCCACAGCACAAAGTCAATAAGTAAACTCCAGCAGAGTTAAACGAGAGAGAGTATTGGAGATACGCCCAAGATAAAAAGGGAGAGACCTTGGTCCTCCAATTAATCACAACCTATCTGCACGGTTCCCGTCTTTCATATGAAGGCAAACATAATCATGATTTACCAGCAGCTAAAGGGAGCATCCACAGCACAGTCAATAGTAACTCAGCAGAGTTAAAACAGCAAGATATGGAGAAGCAAGATAACAGGAGAGACCTTGGTTCCAATAATCAACAACCTATTGCACGGTTGCGTTTAAAAGAAGGGCAGATAACATAGTTTTCTTCTGGGAACATCGGCAAGATACATCTGCTGAAATTTGTTTCTCATGACTCGGTTGCGTTTAAAAGAAGGGCAGATACATAGTTTTGTTCTGGGAACATCTGCAAGATACATTTGCTGAAATTTGTTTCTCATGACTTACAAGGCCATTGTGTTGATCAAGGCCCATGTCACCAACTACTATATACACGATAAACAGAAAACCATAAATAGAAGATAAAGAGAAGTCAATCTAGGTCAAAGTTTCTTGGATTGAGTTAGAAGACAATATTGTTTTATGTAAACAGTTTAGAAGGTATATTTTTCATTTAAATGATGTTCTGTGCATTCTTTTGTACAATATTTAGAAGCCATGTTGCATATAGTTCTCAATTGTTCCTTTTGGATTCAATATTTGACGATGCAGATATTTTTCAGTACTCTTTTCTTTTCTTTTTTGCTTTGTTTCTCAGTAGTTTAGTTCTTCAAATCCATGTGAAAAGATGGTGAATGCAGGGGAGCTTATCATCATTCTGAGTTCCAAAAAAGTCCAAGATAATATAATAAGAGTAAAAAGTATATAATATTATTAATAATAATAGTAAATACAGATGACATAGGTCAAGAAAAATGTTGATGTATATATAAACAGTAATCAAAACTTGAATTGATTTATGCAAAGAATACATTAAGCTTAGATGAAAGTTTATCTTTCGAATCCAATCTTCGACTGCACAACCAAATCTCAATGCCAGAAACCTCATTTTGCTATCATTAGCTTCTCTAATATCAAATGATCCAGGAGAGAGTTGATCAGATCCCTATACTCCCTTTTAATACAGTTTGTGCAGTAAATCACAATCTAAGCTATTGTTCTTGAAAAATTCACTACTGTGATACACCATTTGTGTAAAGAAAAAAGAATATTTATCTTATATGAATAAAATTAAGAAGAATATATTTTCATATTCAAAACAGAGACAGAAAAAATTTCCATTTTTTGCCACCTGTACAGGTGATATCTTCTGGTTGACTACAAAACACATCTGTTGGTTGATGTATGTGCCAGAACTATTTGGCGCAGATAGGCCTCAATCATCCCTAGTAGTTACAATGGTGGGTATTTGGCCGTGATTTACAAAATCGATCTTATTTAAGCGAACGCAGCATAGCACTTGCTCTGGTAGTTCTTCTGGTTTTTGTGCCTGCGAAAATTATAATAGAAAAAAAGAGTTCACATTATCTGAGGTTCATTTGCTGCAAATGAAATGCAACATTTTCTTTATGTTAGCATTAGTGACTAGATGATAAACACCTGAATGGTTAAGCCCACATTAGCTATTCCATGCTTCATTCGGTCTCGGAATGCTTCGAGTCCTTTCCGAGATATGTAGCTGAACCGATGGATATCAAGGTCAATCTCGAAGTAATTTGGTCCCTGCATCACCATGAGAAAACATTAAGTTCAGAAGACAGGGAAGCGAAAAAAAAATAATAATAAATTATACAATTTGCAGAAAATGCAAGACAACATAAGCAATGCAGAGAATGCTATGAGTTGCAAAACTGACAGTATATTGTTGAAAGATCAAAATGGAAATCCTACTAACTAACTTATTGATTGGATGTGTTAGCATTTCTTGATTCTAGTCCTTTATTTAACTAAATGAATGAACATTATTTTATCGTCATCAAAATTAAGCACTTAACATAAATGTAATATGTGAACAAAAAGAAAAAGTTACCCTGAAGAACTCGTGTTGAGGGCGTGAGAGGACCGGCTTATCATTATAAGCGTGTATAAGCTTCTTTTCTGCAGAACTCAACTGCAAGTCTTCTGGATTAACCAGACCTGCCAAAATCTTTAGCCTTTCTCTGAAAGGAACTGTGGACTCCTTTGTAAAGCCTCTTACCTTCTCCATATCATCCTCAACCATTCTCTGAGGCAGAAAGCAACGTAAACAATCAGCAAAAAAAATATCATACAAGATGTTTTCAAAGAAAGATTAGTGTTTGCATAATACCTTGATAGTCTCTTGAAAATGAGGAGAGATCTCTTTATTGAAATTTTCATTTATTTTGAAATATAATACAAGGCTCATGCCTTCTCCATCGCAATCACCTTGAAACATGGCAACAGGATAAGTAGGAAGCTGCAAAATCAAACGGCAAGAAAGCAAACACAATAAGCAACTACTAAAAACTTAATAACTAATATATGACAAGCTCTAAGCATTTAAATTTTGAGGGAGCAATAACCTGTATGTTAAGGATCAGAAGTGATGGAATTTTCTCATGTGCGGGCACATAAGGAAGTTCAAGATGTTGAGCAATATGATGTGTCTTTCTTGGACATGCAAATAAATCAACACCAATTGGTATATATGGGCTGACACCTGGAGCAGGGCTTTTTTGCTTATCTCTGCATAATTAGTTTTTGATGTATTAGAAAAACCACATTCTGATACTGAACTATGCACAAATGATATGCAACCAAGTGACTAATAATATGCCTGAAATAATTCTCGCCACGGAGTTTGAAAACCGAAGGTGAAACCTCGGACCAACATCCTGGAAGTGGCTTCTCTACTTTTGAACCTGGAATTTGAAATCCTGCTCTTGGGTGATACAACAATCTCCCATGACCTGCACCAACTTTTTCAATGAATATTCTTTTTTAGTAAGCAATTAGATTAAAATCATTTAAGGACAAGGCATATATTAAAACCAGCTATAGCATATGCTTACATATTTGAGTCTTTTCGTCTCCATCGCAGGATTTCCTCTTCACAGATACCATTATAACAGTTGATTTTCTTCTATTTTCTTGAACTTTCTCCCCAGAATCATAAGTGAGTTCTTTAAGACCTTTAAAGCTTCCATAAGGATCATCTAATACTTTCTTTGTCTTAGTGGCAATATCCTCACCATTAGGAACTCCTCCATCGATTTTCAGGTAACTTTCATAAAATCCCTCGTATTTCTTGCTCCCGGTGTCTACGAAGCACGAAGCACTTCCATACTGAACCACTTGAGTGCTTTGGCACAATGGCACAATGCCAGTGCTTTGGCACAATGGCACGATGGCATTCCCAACACAACCAAATCCATCTACCATACCAAAAATGATGATTAAGAAAATTTATATAAATATAAACAAATATTACACTTTTTAAAATTCTTCTTGCAAGTACCTCCTCCATGGACACTAATGTAGTCATCGTCAGAATCTGAGTCTATAATACTCACAGAATCAAACCATACTTCTTCCTGTTGGCATATTCCTATAAAGAATGAAAAAATTAAATGATTATTATTCAAAATCAAAAAAAAAAAAAAAAAAAAAAAAAAAAAAAATTCCTCATATAAGAATGAAAAAATTAATGATTATTATTTCAAAATCAAAAAAAAAAAAAAAAAAAAAAAAAAAAATAAGAGGGAGAGAAGAGAATATACCTTTTGCGAATCAATTTGGCTAATGAATTCCCATTGAAGCTGAAGTCACATGGAAGAAAAAAAAAAAAAAAAAAAAAAAAAAAAAAAATAGAGGGAGAGAAGAGAATATACCTTTTGCATCAATTTGGCTATGATTCCATTGAAGCTGAGTCACATGGAAGTTCTTGTTAGTAGTTTCAGATCTTCTGCAAGTCGTAGCAGCACCCTTTTCGAAATCAAGATGAACAAACTCACTAACAGCAAAATCTCCTATATCAGAGCCACTAAACCTTTTGATAGGTACATCAGAAATAGCAGTGGGAATCTTCCCACGGCGTTTAGAAGATTTGTGGTGGTGTTTCCTGTGTGTTCTTGGCCTTGCATTGGCTGTTGAGACGCATCCACCCATTTTGACAGTAATAATCACAAACTAGTATAAATATTTATTTCAAGAAAAAGTGACCAAGAACACAACCTTCAGTCAACAAAAGGGACCTGCAATATTTCCCAGAAAAAGAAAATCAAATGTCAAGAAAAGAAATTGTAGAAGAGGGAACATAAAGATTTTTCAAGAAAAATAACAAGAAACATACAGATTAAGATATATTTAATACATGTTTAATTCTTTGTCTAGGAGCATTGGATAGGATTAGGATTATATATTTTTTATGTTAACTAAAGAATGACTAAATGAAATAGAATGTAAAACAAGAGAAAAATATTATTATTATGAGTCCACATCATGTAAGATAGTAAAAGACAAAGAAATCTAAATAATTTGATCAAATGATGAACATGAATATTAACTATTAAGTCTTTATCATAAGGTACAAGTTACTAGTAGTCAAAATCTGCAGTCTTGACATATTAAAATAATTAGAAATATATTTTTTTAAAAAAAAGAGCAACTCAGGTGCTACTTACTGAGTTGTCTTTTAATAATGTGACGCTGCAAGAATAAAAGCTATTAAACCAAAACAATATTTGTAAATGAAAACCCAAATGTTAAAATTTGAAAACTAGGAAAAATAATCCTAAAAAGAACAAGAAATGAAAATTAAATTTTCTACAACAGGGGAAAAAACTCAAAAGTAGGAAACTTTGTAGATACTAATAAAAAAGGAAATGCATGAAATAAAAGGAAACATTGAAACAAGCAATCATCACATCAGAGTAACAAAAGCAAGAAGAAGAGAAACAGGGGAGAAGCAAAACCTGAGAAGAAGTTAAGGGGGAAATCCCACGAAAGGAAATGAAATCAGAGTCAGCAAATTCGGATTTCCCCCATTTCTCTCTTTTTCTTTCGCTAGCTCTCTCTGTATGTATATATCTGTGAGACTACAACCACCAAAAGTAGCTGTAAATCCCACAATCGAAGTTCAAATTAAGAAAAAACAATAAAAATAAGAGAAACAGAGACTAAAAAAACTAAGTAAAAGAAATGAAAGAAAAAGAGTTTGAGAAAAAGAGAGAGTGAGGATCTGATTATTAAGACAACATTTACCAAATTCAGGCTCCGCTTAGTTCGGATCCCATTTTGATTTCTTATCGGTAGAATGCTTTTAAGCCTCTTATCTATTTTTCTCTCTGTTTCTTTTTTATATTTTTGCTCTGTTTATGTTCTGTCGCCAGACATTTCGCGGGCTATTCTTTTTTATGACGGAGCCTCCGCCTACTCCGCTTTGTCTTTCTAGCACTTGTTGTCATTTATGAGTTTTAATTTATTAGCTTTTATATTTTTATTATATTTAGGATAAGACAAATTTTTTTCTAATGAAATTATAGCTTTTTTTTTAAGTTTTACATATATTTTAGGTATAGGGTTAAATGACAAAAATATAATAATTAGTAAATATTAAAAATAAAAAAATTGTAATTCATCCATGCCAAAAAAAAATATTAATGTCACACTGTTTTATATCATTTGATGAGAAAATTATTGGTAACAAGACAAATTGAATGAAGATATATTAGAGAATTAACAAATTATTTATGAACCAAAGAAGAAAGATATTACATGTATTTGAATTTTGTTCATTTTCAAAAAGTTCATTTGCATTTTTTGTTTCAAAGAACGATGATTTAGCCTAAGTTTTATGCACACAATTATTTGCATGAGTTGACTAGTTGCACCATATAATAATTGTAGTTCATTAAAATTAATGTAATTATACCTAAAAGTTAACTCTAATTGATTTGGTAACATTGACTTAAAATTAATTTTTAGGCATATAGGCATCTTCAACTGCATTTAGACTAGCATTTTTTTTGTTCTTTTTATAAAACGTTATCCTTATTAACGTTTAGTTTTTATAAATTTTTTATTAAATATATGCCCATTATTTGTTTTTTTCTTGTTCTATGCGACTTTATCATTTTTTTGTCTTTTTATATTAAACGGTTAATCAAGTACGTATTTCTACCGAACACTTTTATTTTTAAACCGTTATATAAACAACTTACCATTAACTAACAGCTAATAGCTAGTAAAACAGCTGACAGCTGCTACAACAGTTAACATATATTAAAATCGCTTAAATCGTCGAACATGGCCTTACACAAGTTGAAGATATTCCAATAAATATATGAGACATGACATGTTACCAAATATTCAAGGTAGCTATACAAAGAAAGTTGTTTATAAGATAAGTGTTTTGAATCCATTGTGCTAAATTAATCATGCTCGCAGGATCCAACACTCAACCTTCCTATATAAAAAATTTGAATTCTTTTCATTTAGACAATCTCCCTCAAAAATTGAAATTTTTTTTATTTTAATTTTTAATTTTTTGAAGGACATGGGTGTTTTAAGATAAGCCAACCACAAAAAATGGGTTCAGAGACAATTAGACAAAAAGAAAAACATTAAAATTTCCATATGCTTTCCAAATCTTCCCTACCAGGATCAAAGGGGGCATGAATAGCATGCTTCATTTTCCATCAATGGAGGGCCATTCATTGATTGATCTTTCTCTCTCTTATTGTAAAAAAAAAAAATGAAAATGAAAAAGAAATGCTTTTTGTCAACAAAATAGAAAAAAAGAAACTTATATGAAAGGTGTTTGCCTTTAAACTTTTTTATTAGTATCCCACTACGGATATGCCCATACGTTTCGATATGAAATTAACTTAATTTAAAATTTTTATAAAAACTGTTCACTGAATTCAAATATATTTTTACCTTTAAACTATTTGTTATTGGTCATAATAAATATATTTTAAAAGCAATAATTGGAAGGTGTTTGCCTTTGATTGAGCATCCAACATTAACTATTATAATTAATTAATTAATTATAGAGGATTAGTGGAAGAAGCTGTGTGGAAGTAGTTGGGCCGCAAAGGTACTTGATGTAGGTCAAGTTTATTTTGTTCTCATTTGACCAACCCATTGGACAAAATTGAAACCACACCCACTTAAAGATTTAAATTTACAAAGTCTTAAGTTAACAAAATTAGGTATGTATTTTTCATTTTGATCCCTTCTTCTGAAACTATTTGATAGATTTTGGTCATGTCACGAGGATTCTATATTAAATTATACTAAAACACAAGATTTATATAATCTTTATGTATCTTACCAAATATATAATTTTTTAACTTTTAAATTATTACAAATCAAATGCGTTTTCGATACGGTGTCAATTGCCAAAATCAAATTAGTCGTGAAATTTTAATACTATATTAATTTTTTTAATAAATCATTAATAATTAAATTGAAATTTTAATTTTTAACGTCTAATAATATGATTATGAGACAGACATTTAATTAAAGAATTGTTAATTCAATAATTTAATTTCATATATAGGTTAGTAGGACATAACACATCTAAGCCAATCTACTCGTTCCACGTGTTAAGTAGCAAGTTGAAACTAACAAATTGATTATTCAATGAGGGTATTGCCTCCTTGTATAATATACTAATTAGTTGTTGAAGGTAATAAAAAAGACACTTTTTCTTTAAAAAAAAAAAGAAAAAAAAAAGAATATCCTAAAGAGGTAGTCGCAATCCATAAGATACAAGAATCTTTATGAATTAATAAAAAGAATCAAGCAAAATAATGTTCTTGTTAGGTAGGTATAGAGCAGTTCTTGAATGGGGAATTTCTGAAATTACTTATTTAATAATAATTCTGACCAAATCAACGAACTTGTTCTTCCTATTATGGTTTAAAAATGGGTTAATGCAGGGTGATCTAAAACCCATTATGATCATTATATATTAATCTATTAGGATAATACATTAAGAAAATAATAAAGGTAAACAAAACAAGAAAAAGGATATGATTTTGATTGATGAGTCAATCACCTCCCCAATTGTTGGGTTTTGGAACTCACTTTCCTAAAATTCGACAATTCGACCTTCTGATCATATATTTACAATAAAAAAAGTCGATATATTTTTTAAAAAAATTTTAATTTCATTTATTTGATTTATAAATGAGATCATGAGTTCAATCTTGGTAAGTATTTTTCCCAAATAAATAAAAGCTATGATTATTCTGCTCTAGCATATCATATATGAGAATTTAATTCCTTAATTTGGGATAAAAAGGGAGAGAGAAAATAAAATAAAATAAAAAGAAATATGAAACAAAAATGCTCTTTTTTTTTCTCATCTTATTTAGCCATAAAAGAATTTACCTGTATTTTCTTTTTTTTTTTCTTTCGATCATTAGAGATTTAAATTAAGCTAACCCATAAGAAAATTGGTTTTTATTTTCTTTCCCTCCAAACAATTAAATTTCTTTTTTTCCATCCTATTTTAATTCATCATTTAAATATTTGACTGCTTCCAATTATAAAAATATAAAAAATTCAAAATAAAAAAACCAATGAATTTTAGTTCAATGTAAAAAATTTGTTTATAAAAAAGAATTATAAGATTGTGAATCTAAATTTCAATTAAAACCAAAATAATAATAATAATAAAAAAAAGCTAAGATTCAAAGAATCAGGAAGTTTCAATTCCCGTTTTCATCCTTGTTGGATTATTATTTTGATATTATTTGGTTATTTATTGATTTATTTAATTATTTTACTCAAATTATTGGAGGTCTATTTTTACATTAATATATGAAAGTTTTAAATGCTAAGTCCTAACACCCAGCATTTAATTATTTTACTCAGTGTTATCTGTTTTTTTTTTTTTTTTAATTTATTATATTGTTCACGTAAATCGTAAAACAAATTTGTTTATAAAAAGAATTATAAAGATTGTGAATCTAAAAAATTTCAAATTAAAAACCAAAAATAATATAATAAATGAAAAAAAGCAGAGATTCAAAGAAATCAGAGAAAGTTCCATTCCCGTTTTCAATCCTTGTTGGATTATTTATTTGATATTATTTGGTTATTTATTGATTTATTTATTATTTTTACTCAAATTCATTGGAGGTCTTAAATTGTTTACAATTAATAGTATGAAAGTTTTAAAATGCTAAGTCCTAACAATCCCGCAGCATTATTATTTTACTCAGTGTTATCTGGTTTTTTTTTTTTGTTTTTTTAATTGGATTAGAATTTATGATAGTGGCCTTCATTTTGGGAAACAAAGCATTATGGTGTTTTTTTTTTTTTTTTAATTGATTATGAATTTATGATAGTGCCTTCATTTTGGGAAACAAAGCATTATGGTAATTAAATGATTGACCATTAAGTTTGACCTAGTTTTGGACATTTAATAAGCAACAATACTATAAACTTTTGTATAGTTTTAAATTTCGAGCATCCATCATCTCTAAGATTATCTTATTTCTTCAAAAGAGACTTTTTTTTTTTTTTATCAACAAAAACATTAAATTTTATTAATTTATAATATTCAGAATAAATTTATTTTATTCAAATATTAATCCGAACCAGTAGGTCTTTCAAATACACTCAAATCCAACTTCGATAATTTAAGTAAAAATAATCTGGTCAAAACATCAATGCTCACCGAAACTCAATATAACAGAACTCCAAAACTATTAACTACTGTTCCGTAAAATTATAAAGCCAAAACATAGGTGTAATGATCTGTAGATTTTACAAAGGATTGATCTCATCGATCTCGCCATAACCAAGTAAACGAAGGTCAAACACAACAGCCAAATCGATGGAAAACATATTGTTTTATGAAAATTGGCAAAAGCATTAAAATAACCCTAAATGCTCAAATCACATTCAATGGCATTTGGTAAGAGGAAATGCATGGCACATGCATGGACAGAAACCTTAATTTCTTTTCAGATTATTATTGGGATCCATACTATGATTTCAAATACTACTTTTGGACAGTCTAATTTATTACATTCAGGATTACAAGGCAGTTTCAAAGCTCAAGTCAAATTTTCATATAACATAACAATATCAAAAAATTCCCCTAACAATGCCTTGAATAGATCCAAGAAATGTGACCCAACGGTCAATTGTTCTAAATTTTTGTATTGTAAGTATATATTTTGTCTTCAGGGCTCTGTTCTGTGAGCTTCTCGCTAGTTGACCATGAACATTTCCTTGATCCACCGCATTGCCTTTATTTGATTCTTCAGCTTTTAAATTAAAAAATAAATAAATAAAAGGTTATTCTATAGGAGTATAACACTTGAATTACAGATTTTAGGTTCGATGTGTTTTCTGATATATTCAAAAGAAAAATTAATTCATTTTAAATA